CAGTAACATTTAAGATCGTGCAAATCATTGAAAATCAAATAAACCAATTTAAGTCATTTAAGATCATTTAAGATCATTTAAGATCATTTAAATCATTTAAAATCATTTAAGACAATTTAAGTCATTTAAGTCATTTAAGATCATTTAAATCATTTAAAATCATTTAAGGCAATTTAAGTCCGTCATTCAAGATCATTTAAGTCATTTAAGTCATTTAAGATAATTTAAGTCATTTAATTAATTTAAAATCATTTAAGACAATTTAAGTCATTTAAGTCATTTAAGATCATTTAAGAAAATTTAAGTCATTTGAGTCATTTAAGATCATTTAAGACAATTTAAGTCATTTAAGATCATTTAAGTCATTTAAGTCATGTAAGCTATTCAAGTCATTTAAGTCATTTAAGATCATTGAAGACCATTTAAGACATATAAGTCATTTCAGTCATTTAAGACATGTAAGTCATTTAAGTCATGGAAGCTATTCAAGTCATTTAAGTCATTTAAGCTCATTTAAGACCATTTAAGACATATAAGTCATTTCAGTCATTTAAGACATGTAAGTCATTTAAGTCCTGTAAGCTATTCAAGTCATGTAAGTCATGGAAGTCCTGGACGCCATTCAAGTCATTTAAGTCATTTAAGATCAGTTAAGACCATTTAAGACATATAAGTCATTTAAGTCATTTAATACATGTCAATCATTAAAGTCCTGTAAGCTATTCAAGTCACTTAAGTCAATCAAAATCAAAAAAAAGTCAGTTCAGTCAAAAACAAGTCATTTAAGATAATGTCAACAAATCACCAACAAAAATCATCAGTCAATGAATCTTCCGTGTCTTTCGGCGTTTGCGCAACGCTTGTGCGTTGCGCACGGCAGCCGGCCCTCATCGAACCCGCTGATCCCTCAGGGATCGAATCGGGAATCATCCTCCGTTGCGGATGGGCTCTCCACCGGGAGAATGGCACAAAAAAAAGCAGCAGCGTAGCGCTGAAAGTCGAAGATGTTGAGTAGGATGAGGTGTTTATGGATGTTTAATAGGATGTTTAGTATGTTTCATGATTTCGAGGCCTGTTCGCCGATTTTCTGTGATTTGGCTACTTGAACATGGGGAAGCTCCTGATGGCGTTCTGTTCTATGGCCATCAAAGACTGGAACCGGTCTAAGTCAAAACAGCATGTTCAGCCAAACCATGCGGCGTCCTGTATTGATGTACATTTAACCGAAAAAATCACATGGACAAAGCAATGACTGGTTTGATCTTTTAATCTGAATTGGTAGAGTCAGCCCTGAAAACAAAAACATCTACCACGCATTCAGGATCAGTCATCAGCTTCGGATCACCCCTCCCTACGGGGGGGAATGAATGGTTTGATTGATCTTGAGTAATCCCATCACGCAATACGAAAATCCAGTGGATCCAGCAATAAACAAAATCGATTTTCATTGGGGATACACTCTGGTTATTTAACAATATTTAACATACAAATGCCATGGGAAATCCCTAATCAATGGAGGTTTCTAGCTGGGGAAAATCATCTATAAATTGGCCATGGCTTCCATGGTTATGTTCAATAACCAGAGGGTACCATGGAAAAATCCAAAGAATTGATTCCAATGGGCAATGGAGCCACCATTTGGGGATGGATCAAAACCCTGGTACCTAGTGAACCCCAAGTCATAGCTGGGATTTATGGATGTGAATAACCCACTAAAATGTATCTATAGGTATTGACCCATACCCATTTTCTTTAGGATCAGCATCTCCAAAATTTCACCAATCGCTCCGTGACATCGTGACATTGATTTTTTGCATGTTTTTATGCTTTGCCCAAAAAGAGTGATAAGGGCACTTTTTCTTAGGCACCTGAATTCCAGATGAATCACCAAGCAAAATGGGAAACTCAAGTAACTCAACCATACAGTCGCTACTTCATAAGTCACATTGCGAAAAAGGGTTTATGGATGTTTATGGTAGATATAAAAAAAGATAAAAAAAACTTAGTTCATGTCTACAAGAATCCATTGTTAATAAGTGATATGGCAGATAAATCATGATATATTGAACTTTATTTCCATTGGTGCTTACATAAGCAAACAACATAACTTGACCCACCTTGTAGCAATGTTCATCTGCTGTAACATGCATGTAGATGTCCCTATTGGTGGTGACTTGTTGGTGAATCATCTCGTTGATCCCTACGTTTCAACATATCTTCATGGATTTCCCCTCCAATAAAAAGTTTGGATGCGGCTAAAATACACTATTTGTAGATGATTTTCATAGGTTTTCTCGGTTTTCCACATCGTTTTCTATGTTTACCTAGGATTTGTAGGGTATTTCGACTTCCGTGCGCACAATTTGTAGACGGCGTGACGACTTAAATGGCTTGAAATATGACCACAGGTGAAGCTACTATAGGTCAACCAACAATGGTTGGATAAAACACCGCAAAACATAGGTTTTACATATAGGTCAAAATTGGGTCCAACAACAGATGGTTAATACTCAACATATCCTAAAAACTGTGGTCCTTTCTGCTTAGATTTTGACTCATCCCCATATATCCAAGGAGATTTTACAAAGTTTTCTAGGGATTCAACGGTTGAACTATAGCTGGTTGGTGGTTTTTCGCCACCTACCCCTCTGAAAAATGATGGACTGAGTTCGTCAGTTGGGATGATTTTTCCATTCCCAATCTGATGGGAAAGTCATAGATTTATGCCATATTCCAGTCACCAACCAGATAGTCATTTACCCAAGTCAGTTGGGGGCCTCTGAGGCCAAAAGATGGGGCTTGAACCACCAAACATGTGGAGACGCAAGACATATGCAGGTGTTTTGTCAATGGGAATTTCAGGATCCTAAAATGGAGGTACCGATTCCATATATAAGGCCTATATAAGGCCTATTTTTCAGGCCTATGTAAGTGAATATCACCACAAAATATGGCCAAACATATGGTACGAACGTACCTCCATCAATTGGATCCTGGAGAATCTCCCATTGATTTTGGGTGGTTTTGGTAGGTATGAAATCGGCATCAATTCATTGCATAGCTGGGATGGCGGGAGGACACACCACGATCCAATCGGTGAATCAATGGATTGGTTTAGGGGAAAATTGACAGGAAAACCCCAATATATTTCATGGTAAAAACCATGGTTTCCGGTGAAAATTTTCCCAACAAAACCAATCCATTGAGTGAAGCCAAAACCATGATGCATTGCTAAAAAATCAAGATTTCTGACATTGGCTGCAAAAGTCCCCGGAAAAAAAAAAAACAGAAACCTATCACTGTCACTGATCGGGTTCGTCCCGAACTGTTGGTAAATCACCAGCCCGAAAAATGCCATGTTTATGGGGACGATGATGTTTTAAACTATCAATTCTGGAAGTTTTCAGAAAGTTCAGACAGCTCCAAAAAAAATCATTCTTGGTGTAACCCCCATGTATTTACTGCTGAAATTCCGACTTTTGAAGCAATTGAACCATACCTTTTCATCACTTTACATCATTCTGAGCCAGCACCACCGCCTAGAACTGGTTACATCATGTTACATCTATAGCGACACACTGAAACTTAGAATGCTGCCCAGTTTTCCAAAATTTTGATTTTTGAATTTAGAATGCCGCCAAAAACCATGTTTTTTAGGGTATTTTAGAATGCCGGCCAGGGAATATTCTAAGTTTCAATGTGCCAGACCCCGAACCACAGTTTTGCCATACAAACTGCATATTTTAGGTATAAAATGGCATGCTAAGTTCTCTCCGTGCGGCGTGTTTTCCTCCATAAGGGTGCCCAAAAAACAGCAAACAGAAAAATAACTCCGTTTGAAGCACATATGCAAGAAAAAATGCAATTTACTGCATATTTACAGGTTTTGTGAACATACAAGATCCAAGGCACCTCAAGACAGGCATCATGTTTTCCTTCAAAATGTCTCTTATTTCTTTCCCCATTGAAGATGGAAAACTCGAAAAAACAGATGCCAAAAGTCCCCGCACACATTCTAAGATCTCCATTACTAAGATGCCTCGATTGAAAAAACGGGGAAAAAAAAGTGCAGCACCCCACTTTTTGGCATTTTGCGGGGACTTTTTTGCAGCGCACTGTTTCCAAAATCGCATTCTAAGTTTCAGTGTGTCGCTACAAAGCTGGTAGATATCAGCATCATATCCCCATACTTTTTACCAAAGGATAAAGTTAGATGGTATAGTATCCCCATACTTTTTACATATCACCATCTATCCCCATACTTTTAGATGATTAATATGGTATAGTAAACCTATCATTTGGGGATTCTTCATCAATCCATCTTTGGTGATTTTTGGGGAATCCATTGCCTCCAAGATCAACTCTCCCTATTTGCCCTGGCAATGAATCGATCCAAAATCGTAACCCCCAGGCTTTTTTTAAAGGGGCCGAAGAAAGAACATACACTCCGGTAAACTAACATAACCATGGAAAATCACATTTTTTATGGGTAAATCCACTATTTCTATGGCCATTTTCAATAGCAAACTGTTAGTTTACCAGAGGGTACAAAATACCAAGGGGAAAGGACACAAGAATTTTTCAGCACCATAAACCCCTGGAAATATCACCATGAAAAATCATGGCTGTGAACTCTTTCATCCCCTTCAATGGTGGTTGTTTCATCCCATGAAACATGATGAAAAATGGCACCCTCTGGTTATGACTAACATAGCCATGGAAGCCCTGGCCCTAATCGAAATAGATGGTTTACCGTTCTTAAAAAATGGGTGGATTTTCAATGGCTATGTTAGTCATAACCAGATGGTACATGGGATTTACATGGGATCTAATGGGAGATTTAACCACTATAAATGGTGATTTTTCATGGTTCAACATGGTTCAACAATGGGTTAACTGATGAATCATGGTGTGGCGCCCTGTGGCCTGATCAAGTTGCGTTGCAGCAGTTGCGTTCTGAAAAAATCTCACCACCGCTGCATGGCTGTGACATGGCAGCATCACTTGACTGATGAAAAGGAAGTGGGCCTTGGTGATGCTGGGCTTGTTGCTGATCAATTTGCGAGTCATCGTCCCAAAAGGATGGTATATCTATGGAAAATATCAATATACCATAGATATACCATAGATATACCATAGATATACCCAAAAAATCTCCCATCAACGGATGGGTCAAAAAAGGGGCAAATCGTCACAGGAAACCATGCTCCAATGCGAAAAATGGGGGGTTTGCTCTTAAATGTTCCCTTCAGCCAATCCATGGCTCCCATGCGAACCAGGTGCCCGATGAGCCTATCATGATATCTGGCTGATTTTTGGACGCGATATATATATATACGCATATATATATATACACATATTATATATATATACAATTATATACATATAATGTTTATTTTGTAATATCCTCAACAATAAAAGAAATACCGGACATGGTGGCTTGTCCCATACAAATGCCAGCAAACAACACAATTGAACACCAATGCTTTTAAGCGTGGAAAGTTACACCAATTGTGCTCAAACAATTCCTACCCGAGCCCCCGCCAAACTGCGAGACAATACTGTATCTTTGTCAGATTCATATGGCCCCAAGAATGGAACTTACTTGTGTAACCTTTATTTTTATCATCCTTTCTCCAATTCTGCCCCCATTTGCGGAGGTAAATGTTCTACATAAAACAGCCAATTTGGCGGGATTTATGGATATTTATGGCATTGTGTTTTCCAAGTTTGTGGACACTTTTTGGTGGGTTATACACCCAATAATATCATAATGTTGTTGCTCAATGTCCAGGTTCAATCCTTTTGTAGGCCACTTCCCAGTTTCCATTGGTTATAATCGCCAGTTTTGGACGGTGTCAGCGAGAGGTGGTTTCCAACCCCAACGATGCTAAAAAAATATCGCCGTCAGTCCCAGAGAATCTAGTTCAACCAACAAAAATCGCTTCCGTTTTGGGGCACCATATGTTTGATAGTTTGTTGTCCCTATTGTTGGTTATATCATGTAACATATCCCACTGGATCCCGACAAAAAAAAGGACTCAAATGTTTGATCTCCGATATATCTTTGATCACTACAAGTCTCGTTTTGTTGTTGCTCCAAACATCGATACTTGCTGGAGGAAATTTGGGATAACAGGTAATGGTCAAGAAATGAGTATATTTTCCCTGGCTATCTTTTACCATGGGCTGGAGCAGCCCGCACGAGACATTCATGGTGCTTACCGTGCAACAAGCCTCCTCTCCATTGTGGCAAGCTTCCGTGGTGCCACTTTTTCTTGTCGCCACCTGCAGTCGACAGGCAGTGCTATACATTTGATCGTTTGTTTGTGTTTGGTTCGCCAGCAAAACAGGGAAGAAAAAGTCAAAGGAGCAAAAACCTTGACATTTGCCTCCAAGTTCGGCATTGATTCAGGTGCGCTGCTGAGATTACCAGTATCTATGCTGGCAAACCAAGCAAACTTGTCTCTATAGATATCAGCCGTCATGAGGATATTACCCATAATGTACCCTCTGGTAAACTAACATAGCTATTGAAAATGGCCATAGAAATAGTTGATGTTCCCATTAAAAATGGGTGGATTTTCCATAGTTATGTAAACGTTTACCAGAAGGTACAAGAGAAATGCAAACATCTTCACCCACACATTCTGTTGCGTGTGCGTGGACAGAAAAATGTGAACCCGACGTGGACAGAGGTCGTTATAGTTGATCCAAATGAAGACTAGGCCAGTGTACATCCGCAAAAAAAATAAGATGGTGATTATCAGTAGGGTTTATGGTGTTTATAAGTTTATAATGAGTAGGGTTATTAGATGACTATAACTATAATTAGATAGATTTCGATAGGTAATTCGTCAAGCAATGGATTGTAAGGCTAGAGTCTCAAGAATTCACCACAGCAATTATTTACAGTAGTTAGCTGGAAAATCACCCCTTTCATCATCTATAAATCGGCCATTTTCCAGAGCTATGTAGCAAATACACCCAGAAGGCAAATTCAAAGTGTGCCTGTCTCTCTTTCATTTTTGGGTTTCTATATCCCATAAACCCATGGTGCTGGAATATTTACCTATACATTTACCACAAAAATGGCCCAGTCATGTCGGTAAATATTCCAGCACCATGGGTTGCATATGGGTATTGTTTACTGTATGATATGCTTCATCCACGTGGGTGATGTTGCCCTTCCCGCTCTCGCCTAGGCAATCTGAAGCATGAAGGGAGAGCCACCCGTCCTAAGGCAGAGCTCTGAAGTCCTCCCCACAATGTGAAGCAGAAAGGAGGAAACCCAATTTTTTTTTGCAGCCCATGAACTGTAGATATACATTTTTATACCAGTCTAAAAGTGGGGGATACCTCAATATTAATCGATGGATTTAGGCGTATTTCTACGGAAAAAAAAACTAGTTTCAGAGACAAAATCCTATATATCTACCGTAGACATCCATAAATAATTGTTACTTGAGTTATGTTTACCAACTTACAGTAGCTATCGTTTGGGGCCACCTTGCAGACATGTTTAAAATGAGGCTTCATTGTGAGTTTTTAGGGGCTCATTCCATGGAAGGCATTGCGTCTTCCAAATTTAATGAATGTCCCCCGGCCGCCAGTAGATTATAATGGATTCTCCTGGGATGTGAACTTCAATGTGAACTATCTAACTTGCTGTTTGGCAAGTTGCTGTTTTCACAAACAGTGTCTCCAGAAAATAAAAGGTACCCTCTGGTAAACTAACATAGCTATGGAAAATCACCAGTTTTAATGGGAAAATCCACTATTTCTATGGCCATTTTCAATAGCTACGTTAAATTACCAGAGGCTATCCGGTAATCAGCTCCATGGCTTTTCCCAGCTCCATGGCTGGGAAATCCCATCGAAATGGACCGGATTTTCCAGCCATGGAGCTGATGACTAGAGGATACTAGAGGTATCCATTTGGGCTAATCCTGGCTGACTTTTGGGGACCAAGGACGTTTTTCGCAGGGAGATTTTGCCCACGGATCCAAATCCTTTGAGGGGTGAATTCCCAGCTCATGGCTCTAAAATCTTAGATACCTTGCAACAAAGACTACTCTCTTATAGTTTAACATAGCTATTGAACATGGCCCATAGAAATAGTTGACTTACCTATTAAAGATGGTGATGTTCCATATCTATGTTAGTTTACCAGAGGGTATGCGTTTATTTTTTGCCAAGTCGCGAGCCACCCGCTGAATCATGGAGACTCTTCCTGAAACAATGTCTCAGGAAGTCTTGGTGAAAAACACATCAAATGGGGGATGTTAGCAGCAAATGAAGACATAGGTGGTGATTTTATCAAGAATCTAAGTGAAATTTGACCTGCAGTGGGGGATGTCACCAACCAACAGCAGGGATTTTTCAGCAACGAAACGATGTGGATCTGGAAATCGCCAAACATCTCTGGTAAAAAACTGGCTGATGGCCCCCAGTTTCATTGGTGATTCCCCTGGTGGTTTTATTGAAAAGCAAACTTGGCCGGGGAAACTCCGAAGGACACTCCAAAACTTCAATGGCCATTTCAGGATCCTAAAATGAAGGTACCTACCATGTATAAGGCCTATTTTTCAGGGCTAAATTTTAAATTTTCAGGGGATAGACACCCAAAATATGGCCAGAAATATGGTACTAACGTACCTCCATCAATTGGATCCTGGAGATCTCCCATTGAAAACTCCCCTGATCACTGGGAATCAAAACATCTCAAAGTTTTTTCGTTTCGCTCCCGACATCCGATCGGAATTTCCGCAGTGTTCCGAACCCTCTGTGATCTTTACATGTATACATGTCGTATACATATATATATATATATGTGTATATATATATATATACACATAGAGTATATATATATACATATATATACATATATATATATATGTATATATATATATATACATAGAGTGTATATATACATATATATATACATATATATATACATATATATATATATACATATATATATATAATGAACACTGTACCGGTTGGTTGATAGGAAGTCCCAATTCACAGGACCCACAACAGGGTTCAACCAGTTACAGCTCAGCCCAAAAGATACGAGGACCGGATTTGATCACCGTTGTCACCTCACCAAAAACGATGTGGGGGATTTTTGGGCATCTGGGTGATTGGTATTTAACGTAGCCATGGAAAATCACCATGCTATTAATAGGTAAACCATCTATTTCTATAGGCAATTTTCCATGGCTATGTTAAATAACCAGAGGGTATTGTTTTTAGGGCAAATGACCCATATGACTTACACCCAAAAATATACACTTAGCCCTGAAAAAACAGATCTTCAGACACACCCAATGACCCATATGCAACCCATGGTGCTGGTATATAAAAACCTACATGACTGGGTGATTTTGTTCGGGCACATGTTGGTAAATATTCCAGCACCATGGAGCATATGGGTGATAATATCAAGTTGGTCACATCTCTCATGAAAAACCTCACTATATTCCACTATATTCCCCATTCATTGTCCCAATGCCCGTAACATATTTGGTTAAGCCCACCAAAATGAACATCATATTAAGCGGGTAGTATATTCCGTCATATTCCCATGAAGTATCCCGTTACAGTATTGGTTATAACCCCATGATTCTTGGTCACATCCCTATATCCCCGCATTAAATTCCATTGATAATAGAATTTAATAACCATCCAAACACATCCAAAATCCTCACATAAATCATCATAACTCCAAGTTTTGCATTTCCAGATGCTATGGTGCTGGAATATTTACCTATACATTTACCCCAAAAATGGCCCAGTCATGTCGGCAAATATTCCAGCACCATGGAGCATCTGGGATGGTAAAGACCCGAGTTCCCCTGTTTTTTTCCAAGTTTCCTGGGCCTAAGGCTCTCTTCAAATCTCGTTCACCTCACATCGACGTGCTGCGACAATTGACGGAAGGACTTTCCGTGTAGAGATATACTAAAAAGGCACCGGCTGAGATATAGGCAAAAAAAGGGTGTTATATCATGTTATATCTATCTGATATGAATCTTGGTATGTCTACAATTCAAAGGATTCTCATGGTTCTCTATATCTTGGTCAAAATGCATCTAAATTTTCATGCATCTTTAGTTTGGATACCCAGGATACCCAGGAGCAACTGGGTAAAAATCACACTAATATGGAACGAGCACATGAAAAAAAACAGCGAAAGGTGGTCCAACGTCGAGATTCGCTTCATCTATTCAATCTATTCAGTTGTCTATCTGATGATATCTGATCATATCATCCATGTGTAAATTTGGGGTGGAACCTGGGTAGCTGCCATTTTATAATGCTAAAATGGTTTGTCAGGGGGGTACTCCCTCTATAAAGTACCAGGATATCATATCTATATTTTTCTGAAAAATGTTTCAGAAACACCATGGATATCTGAAAAATATAGATATGATCAGATATCATCATAGTTTTCCATGGTGTTTCAGTTTTTTTCCATGTTGTTCCCCCAGCTTCAAATCCCAGCGGCTGTTGCGCTGCCCAAAGCGCCAGAGGTCGGACAAAATTTCCAACTCGTTGAGGGCTTCTACGTACTCCGCTGCGTAACCTGGGTGAAGGGTAGGCTGGTCGCGGCGAATTTGATGATGATATGTATGCTATGTATATTATGGATAATATATAATATAATATATATAATATGAAATAATTGAATTTAATTTCATATCATATAAAATCATATCATATACTATAATTCAATTTAATATCATATAATATAATATAACATAATATAATATAACATAGTATAATATAACATAATAGAATATAATGTAATATAATATAACATAATATACGGCAATATAATATTATATATAATAATATTTTTTATACAATATAATATAATATAATATAATACGCACATAAAAAGTATGTGCATTTGCATGCTTCTTGAGTAATATGCAACTGTATGTAAATAGACTTATCAGGCAGTATAGATGTAGAGTATGATTAAATCATACTTGATATACAATCCAACAACCTCCTGGTTGGAAATTGAATTCATTCACTGGGCAGTTGGATGTGAAACTGCTATACTGACATTCACTGGTGATATATCCTGCTTTTCTTGGTGAAAACTGTTTTGAGGATTAAATCCCTTACATTTGATGGTTCCCTTCCAATTCTTACCTTTGGGTTTGCCTACGAATGCGGTATCCCCCCAATTCCAATGGATTGTCATGCATTATCATTGTCTCCCCCATAGAAATGGCAATTTGAAAAAAAACATGGTGACAAATGGTGGCTCATCCCACGAATTGTAAGTGGGTTGTAACCCCAGTGATTGACATGGGATAAGCAGCGGGTTAATCCATTTATAACTGGGGTGAACTAACCCACTTACTAAGTGGGACGAACCACCAATTACGATGTAACCACACGACTCAACCCAGACCCACTGCTGGGACGGGCTGTGGCGGCTGTGGCGTTAAAAATCTGCTCGGTTGAGACCTGCATTTACTGATCAGCAAGAGGTTATAGCCCAGATTAGCGAACCATGGTGCTGGAATATGCACACCAACATGTGCCCAAAATCCCAAAATCACACAGTTGCTGGTAGGTTTTTATATACCAGCACCATTTTGGTTGCTAATCTGGGTAGGATGGATTTCTGGTCTGTGAAAACGGTAAAAAATTGGTTGGCTTTGCAGATCTCATGCTCCAGAAAAACGAGGCCTAACGAGTTTTTTCCTTGGGGGGTCTCCCCAGGTTTTCAGACACAACCAAATATGCAAGGTGGTGCCCCCCAAGTTATAAGTTGGTTTATAATCCCATTAACTATAGATATATCACCTATAAACCATAGTTATTGGAGTTATAAACCAACTTAGCTATCTAGGGGGCACCACCTTGTGATATGTCATGATATGGATCATAGCCCATGACGGATCCATGGTGCTGGTATATTAATGATGTGCCATGAATCCCATCAATATACCCCCTTTATGTTAGCATTAATATACCAGCACCATGGATCCGTCATGGGTAGTTGATTAAGTTGATTATAGATCCCATGAACATATCCCATTACACCGATTACACCCATTACCATTGCATAACTTGCCATGTTTGAAAGTTTAGGCATCACCAATTCCCAGTACAGTACCCTTCCCAGACGTGAAGCCATGAGCTTCATGTTGCAGATCAGGAGAGGACAAAATGCCTCGATTGGATTTTCTGGGCCCAGGGCAGCTTGAAGCACAAGCTGGTGCCCCTCGTTTGTTCCGGTTGTTGGTTTATACCCTCTGGTAATTTAACTTAGCTATTGAAAATTGCCATTTATAGTGGATTTTCCCATTAAAAATGGTGATTTTCCATAGTTATGTTAGTTTACCAGCGGGTAACCCCCATAGACATCATAAACTAGTTCGATACCCCACGAGTTCGATTTATTTTCTTCATAAACCCCAGTGAAATCGGAGCACCAGCAGGTTAGCTAAGAGTCACCACATAAATTGGAGTCTCCCAAACAGTAACAGATTCAACAAGGGTTATTGGTGGATCCACAAAAATAGATCAAACATATACAAAAATATGTAAAATCCCCAAGTGCCAAATTGCCAAAATGGTTATAAAATTGCTTGTACCCTGTTGTACCCCTTTTTTTGGATGATATGAAAGATGAGAATTATCGCGCTTACCGGCTATCCAATGCTGCCACCCTTATCCATCCAGGATCCACCCATCGCTGGAGGATTTTTTCATCTAGATCTGGAGATCCCATCGCATTTCGCCCAGCGACATTTGCAGAAATCCTCGGTTTCGAGGCCTGCAATTTTGCCTCGGAAAAAGGTTTGGTAAACGGTAAACCTGAAGAATTCACAATCGAATTCCTGTCATGTGGGGATGGTAAACGTTTACAAAAAACCATGAAAATGGTGATGGTATGGGGATGGTGACTATGGCAGCCATTGGGTGAATCCCACTAATTAGTGTGCTGTGTTTTTTTTCTTGGTCGAATACATGGTTTGGAAAGGATGAACCCAGCTTTACTCAGTATAAACACATCTTTCTTTGGTCCCATAAAGACTGCTAACAATTCATAGCATGCTCCCATCGGGAAAAAAATCCAATTCTCAAGCAGAGGCTTCTTAGTGCAGTATCCCCAGAGCCGTCTGACGATGAATTGCGGGGGCTTTAATTGGAGTGTCTGGTGAAAATCTACTGTTAATCATGGTGAAAAAAAATGGTTATTATATGGTTAATGATGGTTTATAATCATCGACCCATGATACCCTTCTGGTAAACGTTTACAGTTTGCTATTGAAAATGGCCATGGAAACAGTGGATTTTCCCATTAAAAATGGGTGGATTTTCCAGTTCGTTATGTAAACTGTTACCAGAGGGCACCCATGACAAAACGGAAACCTCCATAGAATCATCTCGAATCCCGGATCCTATGAAAAGTGCGTTTTTTTCGCCCAGCGCGATCAAAGATCCACGCTTTGATACGTAGCATTGGAAAAGGGACTCGCAAAATCCTAAGCAATGTCAACCCCGGATTAATAGACCATGGTTTCTTAACTAGGGGGGTACCCTCCAAATAGTCACAATATGGTACATAAATGGTACATAAATGGTATCCCCCCAATTAAACAGCCGTAAACGGGCTTTATTAATCCGGGGTTGACATTACCAGTTTTGCTGATCTGATCCCAACGCCCCAATTTGAGTCGTGGTGGAGCCATCTTCCCATGGCTGTTTCATGCAGGCTTTGTGCATGCGCGGTCCTGGCTTGTTGTTTTTGCGAAGTGGTGACTTATTACATCTTACCAACTGAGATCTCCACAGTAAAATGGTGTTTTCTTCTCAAATTCATGTAGGTTTGTTTGCAAACATGGTCCATTCATTGATGTCCATTCAAACAGCCAGTTTTCTGGTACACTGCATTTTTGGACAACCGATATCCCAGCTAGCCATTGCCGACAAATCACTCAGTTAGTTCATGGTTGAATCACAAGTTTGCCGTCTTTTTTTGCTGGTGAAATCACCCAAAATGTTGGTCAAATCATGATTCAAATCTATATCTTGGATGGTCGGTTAGTCAGGCTTTTCATCATAACCCATGACGGATCCAGGGTGCTGGTATATTAATGCTAATATTTGGGGTATATTGCTGGGATTCATGGCACACCACTAATATAGCAGCACCGTGAATGGATCCGTCATGGCTAATGAAGCACAAGTAGCTGCTGGCTAAGAGTAGCTGTGTTCAGCTACAGCCCCGGGATGATTGGTCTCAACATATCCAGATTTGCCGGGGGTATCCTTGAAGAATCGATCGATTCCACCATTTTCGCACCATCCCTTTTGTGAAATGGTGAAATTAGGAAATGATGTTCGATTTCGTGAAACACTTCCCATGGTGGGTTCAACTCCCTTGTTGGTTTGTAAACATCAGTTAACATCACTTAACATCAGTTAACATCAGTTAACTATAGACATCCTCCATAAATCATTCCACCGTCCAAGAGGCTGAAACTGGTGGACACCAGATCTCCGATGAAGTTCCACTCAGTCCACAGGGCCATCTCAGCCTGAGCCGTGGATTCGAACCGTGGAGCTACACATAAAATAACACCAACTATAATATGAACATCATCATGAATATCTATCCATATGTATGTATGTATGTATATATATATATGTGATTTTGAATATATAGTGATTATATATAGTGATTACATATATATATAGTGATTATATATATAATATATATATTATATAGAGTGATTATATATAGAGTGATTATATATATACATACATGTTTCTCCATTTTCCCGAAAACAGCGAAACACATGAACAATATTAAGATAGGGCTAGGGATTATAACAACAATATAACATATAGGAATTAAAGCAATTTATATTATATATAGGAATAAAACTTGGATCCATTGGTTTAGAAAATAAAGGTTGTCATAACCTCCCATATTTGTTGCTGTGTGAGAAGTGGGAAAAGTCACCATGGAAGTTAGTTCATGTACCATCTATACCAGCTATGTGAAATGTGTCAAAGTACCGGAGAGCATCCCAGATATACTTAGTAATTGCCAATTTTTCATAGTCAAATTATTCATCGTTCCCATATGCTCCATGGTGCTGGTATATTTACCTACATGACTGGGTGATTTTTAGGGAAAATGTTGGTATATTCCATACATGAAGCATATGGGATTGTTCATAGTCAAATCGTCATCTTCCATGAAATGTCATCATTGTTCATAGTCAAGTCATCATTTTTCCATAGCAAATTCATCATGTTTCATAGTTGAATCATGTTAAACCATCATTTTTCGGCAAATTCCATGGATGTTTTTTCATCCTTTTTGGAATGGAACTCCCAAAAAATCTGCCGAAGGTTTTCCTCCTTCCAGGACACAGCCATTCCAGCATTTTCCAGGGTCAATGGTGCGCGTTCCATCTGCGTGTAGCGCAGGGATCCTGGAGGAATGCGTGGGTTTTTTGTGAAGCCATTCCTGCGTGATAAACCCTGGCTTTTCTTGCTTAGGGAATATGGGTCATATCTAACGGTAATATGTGGTAATATATATGTATATATATGGTAAAATCTAATGGTATATGTAATATCTTGGTAATATATGATATATGGTATATCTAATGGGTATTTAATGGCATTTTTGGGAGGATGGGTATCTACCCTCTGCGAAATGTTTACATAGCTATGGAAAATCCACCCATTTGTAATGGTGAAGTCAACTATTTCTATAGCCATGTTCAATAGAAAACTGTAAACGTTTACCCAGAGGATATCATGGGTCGATGATTATAAACCATCATGAACCATATAATAACCATATAATAACCATCATCATTCACCATGATTAACAGTAGATTTTCACCAGACCCTATAGCAATTTATATAAACGTTTACCAGGCCGGCTACGCTAGAAATCAACGGGGGAAACCCCCCTGGTTGGTTGATGATTCTTCCATGGGGATCCATGGGGATGGTTGATTTCCATGGGAAAATTTTGGAAAATCCCCACGAGAAAGTGGGTGATGATTGGGTTTTCTCCTCATCTTGTCTCATGGTGAATGTTCATGAATGTAAAAAATGATATAACTGACAATGAAATTCAAATCTTCACTGGGATGGTTCAAGGGTTTTTTTTTCCAGGAAACCACTTTTTTCGTTTCATGGGAAAGTCCATAAGGCTTCCTGTAGGTGTTCCCCCCTGAGCCAATCCATTGCTTTATGTTATATGAGTTCTATGGGTGTGTCTGAAATTTTATTGGAAAATCCCATTCCAACATTCCATCCACTGGTTTACCATCTTCCTTATGAAGATATGACCATTTGGAGGCTCCCAATTTTCAGACAAATCCATATTCCAACTATTATCTCAGTCATCTGGTGTTACAGTAAACTTACAATACTTAAACTGGTTGGAGGTTGAGTCCTACCCCTCTGAAAAATATGAGTTCGTCAGTTGGGATGATGACATTCCCAATATATGGAAAAACTGTTCCAAACCACCAACCAGTAAATGTCTGAATATGTGTTCTTAGTAATACATCTTGATTGTCTGTTCCTTAGCACTGAAAAAAACACAACTGATGTTCTACAATCAAGTTATCCCACATGTTTCATCACATGCATAGGAGCTAACAGCTGACAGCAGCAGCAACAACAACAGCAACAGTTTTCATGGTCAATCTCTGATAGTTCACAAACATGTGATCTTTGTCTTGCAGCTTGAACTTTCATATTTTCCATTTATCGCATTCCAAAGTCTCCGGGGGTAATTTCTATCCAGATTGCTTGTTTAAAAAAAAAAAGATCATCCCATTCCGATCCGATTTTCTTGAATACTCTCCCATCATTTCCCATGTTTAATTTCCCATCCGAATTCCCTGTATCCATACTACATACTTTGGGATGAATAAGTGTAGATATTGGACATAGTATGTACATAACAAAAGTGTACATACTTCATTATATCACATCAAAATTCCCCATGTTATTTCCCAGATCTACATGTTTAATGCAAAAAGTGCTAGGAGTATTCACTTTTCATCACTTTTCATCACTTTTCATCTTGTTCATCCCAATGTATTCACTCTCTCCCAATGCTGGGATGAATTCCCATCACATGTCCCATCCGCATCCCCCACCTTGGAGGATAAAGAAACATGCATCAGCCAGGCCTCCCGCGGCGAAGACCGTGTCGCCCTAGGGCGGCGAAGCCGCCGGAACGCTCACCGGAACGGGCCGTGAAAAACGGGCCTTTCAACGGGCCTTTCAAGGGAGATATGATAGAAATGTCCATATGAAAAATGATAATACAACATGAATTATAGATAAATAATTAATATATACCATTAGTTTACTAGTTGTTCAATATTTCTATTTGTTTGGAGGGTTACTATATATAGATCTATATTATAGTACCAATATGCTCCATGGTGCTGGAATATTTACCTACATGACTGGGCCATGTTTTGCGGTAAATGTTGGTAAATATTCCAGCACAATGGGTTGCATATGGGGTATGAAGTATGAATTATAGATATATAGATATACAATTATAAAGAGTCCATGATTTTTAGTAGTAAAAAATATAGTACAAAAACATAATTGATCATAATCATTGCTCAATTTTGGTATGATAATAGTCACACTATGATGATCATACTCGAAATCAAACTCTAGCAATAATGGGTAATAGTAAGTAGAGCGAGTCATGCATGTCAATATCATTTCGAGACGCTAGGACGGCCATATCTAGGATTGGAAAGTACGGCTATAAGCTTGCTGATATCTACACAGAAGAAACACGTGTTTTTTTTCCTACTAAGTACAGGATCTAGTTGTGTTCCTGTCGTTTTTCAATTGATGCTAGATCAAATAGTCACGATTTTGACAGAAAAAAAAGCGAAATGGTATTGATATTAGGTCCATTCACATTCATTCATATGATTAATTTACTGTATACCACTACCTGAGGTAGTATTTTCCAGAATATTTAGGGTATGTAACATGGGCCTTAAGTACCTTCTTTGGAGGTACTTGAATCCTACCGGGAACGATCTTTTAGGGCTGTTTGAATCCATCTTTGGATCCCAGGATGCCCCAAGGTAATGACGAATTTTCACAGCTACGGACAATGACCCATGAAGGTTCCATGTGATACTCAGTAAACATAGGTAATATGTAAAGAAGGTGATTCTCCAGAGTTATTAGTATATATTAGTATATAAGAAATTACCGGAGGCTAATGTGCATTAATCATCATTAATCCATGAATCCACAGTAGTAATCCATCATGATCATTCATAATCCATATTTTCAGGATCATATGAAGCCCAGTACTTGGGGATACATGGTTCATCTCACTTACTAAGTGGGTTAAAAAACAAACCGTTTTTTTCAGTGGGATAAGTGGCGAATAACTAGGGCTAATCCACAAGAATAACTAGGGCTAGAACCAAAAAAATAGCCTACTTAGTACCCTCCAGTAAATTAACATAGACCCTGGCAGTTGTCGGGGTTGGAAGACTAGTTTCCATTAAAAATTGGTGATTTTCAGGGTCCAACTGTTGATTTACTGTTGATTTACAGTGGGCAGAATTTTCATCTTCCCAGTCACGGGAGGACAAAAAAAACCAAAACAATCCCCACGACAACCACCGACTGATGCACCTCGGCAGCGTCCACGACAACCACCGTCATGGAGATTTTTTGCAACCTGAGAGGAGTTGGGGCAGGTTATGCTCAAACCATATTTAATAACCATTGTTAATAGTGGTGAATAATGGTTAATACTAGTTAATAATGGTTAATAATGCTAAACTACTAGTGGTTGTAGTGATTGATACTGATTCTACTATATAATATGGCGATTTTGTTTTTTATGAAGAATGGTGATTTTACTTCTAAAAAACCAGGGTTGATATTTTCTGACAAGAGATATAGGCGTTCATACTAATGGTTATAGTGCTTAATACCTGTTGATGATATCATGATATATATATATATAATTACTTATATAATATATATATAGTCAATAGGGGTTAAGAATGGTGGTTATACTGATGGTTAGTACATTTGTTACCCTCTGGTAAACTAACATAGCTATTGAAAATGGCCATAGAACTAGTGGATTTACCCATACAAAATGGTGATTTTCCATAGTTATGTAAACGTTTACCAGAGGGTAATACAGGTTAATCTCAACTCGTAGCTCCCCATACTCCCCAACTCGTTTTTCCCTGGGGATTTCTTGGGATTTCTGAGCCCACAGTGGGCTCCACAATTCGTATAGCTAGAGCCAGCTACTTAAGCAACGAATCCCCAAGGACATCCAAGGACAACATCACCTCAGAACTGATCCATCAACCAAAAACTAACCATAAAGGGTCTGATATTTTTAAAGTTATAACCTGGTAACCATCATTTAACTGCTTTTTTAAAAGTTATAACATGTTATAACCCCGTCTGGTTGGTGGTGCAATAACAATCTTGAAAAATATGAGTTAGTCAATGGGAAGGATTATCCCATATAGGATGGAAAATAAAAAATGTTCCAAACCACCAATCAGTATAACATGTTATAACCCCGTTTGTTGTAGGATGTATAGTACTGATATAAGTATTAATACTATTAATACAAGTGGAATTCGCGAACTAATGTGACTTAGACATGCCCCAGAATTGGATGGTTCTGGAAGATCTGCCTTGTGATATGCGTTGCAGATCATGATTTTGCGATCTTTGTTGACACAAACTTGTATTTTGATACATGGAAAACCGGGTATAAACCGAGCACAGTTGTGATGGGAATCTATCTCCAACACACTTCTAACAGCCGCTTGATATATTGGTTTGTCGGGAAATGTTAAAACAATTTAAAACATGTTACATCAACCCGCTGAAACTCAGGAAATTCTTCTTGCAATCCCCTTACTATGTTGCCAACCCAGGATTCATAATTTCCCTGTTTGTTGATAGGATTTTATCACTTTTTTTTGTGATAACCTTCGTCCGGGACCAGCGCGGGCTTGACATTTTCATCAAACATGGATTCAGTATTTTAATGGGACTTAACGGGATTTTATGGTATTTAATGGAATTTAACGGGATTTAATGGGATTTTAATGGGATATATGATGGTTACCCTCCGGCAAATCAACATAGACCCTGAAAATGACATTTTTTTTTAGTGGAAACTAATCTTCCAACCCCGACAACTGGCAGGGTCGAACTGTTAATTTACCAGAGGGTAAAATTAAATCAATTAGTCCCTTAATAGGAGGCCTTGTTGTCACCATGAATAACTCTAACCTCATAAATCCATTAAATTGATGTTAATTCACCCTGAAAATGGCTAAAATCTTCAGGCCATTTGCGGATGATTCCACTGAGTGTCTCTAGCGACGTGAGGTTTTCTGATCATTTTTCCATCCATAAGGCCATAAGATTCACCCATTGATGTGGTTGGCATTCAACACTTCCATGTAGCTCAGAGATTTCCCATGGATTTTCACGGGATGAATCATCCGGATCAGTCAGGTATAAACTCGCTGTAGCCTCTGACAAAGATTCGTGGCTTTTCCCATGGTTTAACCCATGGTTTACTCTCTGGTAATTTGTAACATAGCTATTGAAGCCATGGCCCATAGAAATAGTTGATTTACCTATTCAAAAAATGATGGATTTTCCACTTCGCTATGTAAACGTTTTCCAGAGGGTAACCATCATATATCCCATTCAAATCCCATTAAATCCGATTCAAATTCCATTGAAGTACCATAAAATCCCATTAAAATCCCATTAAGTCACATTAAAATACCATTAAAATCCGATTAAATTCCATAAAAGTACCATAAAATCCCATTAAGTCCCATTAAAATCCCATTAAAATACCACTAAAATACCATAAAAATGACATGCCTCAACCATCCCATCCTCCGTCCCGTCCACCAGGTGGCACTTGGCCGTGCTGAGTGCTGAGATCCTCCTGGTCCATCAAACGTCGCAGGAAGAGAATCCGATCTAAGCAATGCCTTGGCGAAAAGAGATGATGATACAAAGGATAATCTTAATGTTAATAGTTAATGTTAATGATAGTTAATATATGTTAATAGTTAATTAATATGATGTTAATGATAGTTAATAGTCAATCTTGATGTTAATATGTTAATATGTTAATATGTTAATATGCTAATATAATATGGTAAATGAGAGTTAATGTTAATGTTAATAGTTAATGATAATAGTACATGATAATAGTTAACAATAATGATAATAGTACATGACAGTTACATTACAACTATCATTAATGTTAATGTTAATATTTATAAGTTAATATGTTAATATGTTAATATAATATGGTACATGAGAGTTAATGTTAATGATAGTTAATGTTAATGATAGTACATGACAGTTTCAACTATCAGGAATGTTAATGTTAAAGTTATAGTTGTAGTTGGGATCATTATATGTATCAATAATTGTAAGGTTGTACATGAGAGTTACCATCTGGTTGTTTAACATAGCCATGGAGAATCACCATTTTTAATAGGTAAACTTTCTGTAAATGGTACATTTTCCATGGCTGTGTTAAATAATCAGAGGGTAATGTTAATGTTACAATGTTATAGTTAATATCCATCAAAGAATTCGATACAACCTTGACATGACAACTTGTTGGGCGTACTATTACATGATACATGATCATGTTACATATGTTACAATACCATACAATACAATACAATACACAATACAATATACAATACATGATCATGTTATATACTATACTAACTGATCATGTATTGTAACTATTATGCATAGACATTATCATATAGTACAGTAACATGTATATATATATATATAGGTGAACAACATATTTTGAAAGGCATGGTTACTATGTTCTCTATGTATATATATATATATGTATAGCAACACGTTCATAGAGACAAAATATATGATCGTACATATCATATACGTATCATACAGCATAATACGAATTGTTGAAGCCACCAACCTATTGAAGTGAACACTTCCATGGATCACGTCCAGGTACTCCGGATGCGTCTGACGCATGAATGTTCAACACTTTGTCACAGAACTTAAATGGCCCATTTAGTTCAGTGATTTGAAGAGAAACATAGTATGATAGTGTAATTGACAACAATCTGTATTTGCTTATATCTGGAGAATTGACCTTGATCTACTTTAGAAATCTCTTGAACCATGGCGTTTTCCCCTCCGTTTTTTTTTGGTGAAAAAACGCCCGTCATGGGGCCGTCACATGGGAAATCACCGACCGGTGAATGTTGGTTCCACGATGGGTCACCAAGGTTCGTCATGGTGAGCCCATTGAGAGGGATATGTCATGAGTCTATCATAAATCCTATAGTTACTATGTTACTATGATTACTATGATTAGTCATGATATGTCTACCAGATGTCCATCTTAAAAATCCTATAGGTACGAAATGTTACTACTAGTTCAGCTTCTCATCTCAACCTTAATCCAACTTAGCCATTTATCATTTAGCTAACTCTGGGGCCCTTGTAGTAACTACAATAGTGAGGGACCCCCATGAAGTGGGTGATTCGTACCAAGTCGCCTGTACCGTTCCTGGGCGACCGACAAAAGATGTGGGGGGTTCCGAAAATTCAGGAGGGTACCCCTTTATCGCTGGATGTTTTATTTCATGGAAACTCCCAAGATAAAATGGATGATTTTGGGGTGCCCCGATGACTTTTTCGGACACCTTTAGGGTGTTGTTGCGTACCTCTTGGTCTATGGCCACTTGATCTGTGTTCAAAAGCCAAAAGTCCCTCTACACAACGGTCAGGATGTTCCATATTGGATTGCGATGAACACCATTTTTTTCTATATATATATACATTGAATAGCATAATCTCCTATAATCATCAATCAAGCGGGTTTTGAACACTGCTCACTTAGCAACCTCATTTTAAAAATTATTCTGAACTGGGCTGTCAATATCTACCTTTGGATTTTGACATATTTTGACGAAAATGGCTGTAGATCCCCTACGAAAATAGGATTGCTATAGCCAGTAGCATTTCCAGACAAAAAATATAGCACTCTGCTTTGGGATACAGTAGCCCATCCTGAAAAAATATCCCTAACACTGGGTGTTTGCTTCCTCTTGGAGTTCAAGACATCTACTCATTTTGAGTGCGATGTTCAGATTCTCATATGGTATTTTTTTCAGGACATGTTCATGGGGATGATCTAATGGGATGTCATGATGATTCTAAAGGGATTTACTTGATTTAACCAACAGAAATGATCAAACATGAGGATGTAAATGTGATATACCATCTTGAAAATTAACAGCTCACTATAGAACACAATGTAAATCATTGAACTAAATGGGTCATGGCCTTCATAGCTGTCAAATCAATAAGTACTGGAGGGTATGTTTCTTTGGTAAAACAAAGAAACGTGGAAAAGAACATCCAACAATGTTCAAAGTATCTTGAATCTTCATACATTTCATACCAGTTACCCTCTGGTAAACAAACAAAAAGCTATTGAAAATTGCCATTTATAGTTGATTTACCCATTAAAAATTGTGATTTTCCATAGTTATGCAAACGTTTACCAGGCCGGGTACCGTTACCCTCTTGTAAACTAATGTAGATGTGGAACATATGAACATCCACCATTTCCAGATCATTGTCCGAACGGCTTTCCCATCGGCATTCCACAACTTTTCATATTTTTACGCCAGGGTAGTAGCTAATGTCAACCCCGGATTTTGCTAAACCACGAAGTTTATTTTCATTAGGGGGGTACTCCTCCAATAGTCATTATCTGATACTTTTTTATGGTACCCTCCCAATTAAACAGCCGGGCTAGGGGTTTATTAATCCAGGGTTGACATTAAGTCGTCACTAATCATGGTCAGCAATCGCCCAATTTTCCGACCTGTCCAAGCTATCAAGCTGTACTGCCCGCAGCTATCATTCCCCAACATCCAAAATGGGCGGAAGGGGTACCCTATTATTTACCCTCTGGTAAACTAACATAACTATGCAAAATCACCATTTTTAATGGGTAAATCCACTATAAATGGCCATTTTCAATAGCTATGTTAAATTACCAGAGGGTAGAATCTCATCTTCCCCATATAAACGGTCATCTTGTTCTGTGTGCCCCGTATTTTCCGACAAAACCCAAATGGTGAATAAATTGAAATGACCAATCACTCCAAATGCGCCGTAAATATTCATAAATCCCTCTTTAAGACCACCATTATGACCATTTCTCATAGGAAAACCATGAAAAACCATGAAAAATCCACGATGTCCTGGTCGCTTCCCCGAGTTTCACACGCCCTCTGGTGATTTTGCTACGGAAACTGGGCGATTTATTTGGATGATTTCCCGATCATTTCCATGGTGATTGTCCAAAGCAAACTATTGTAGTACATATTACCAGAGGGTATATGCGTGTATATCACATATATCTGTATATATATATTATACATATATGTATTATTATGTAATCATATATATATATATACACTGTATATATTCCTTAATTATTATGCACATCAAAGTCCCAGAAAAAATTCTCATGGTTTTCTTCAGATCATTCTTCTCTACTGCATATTCTGCTGGGTGATCCAACAGATCCCTCGGAGACTTCGCCAAAGCTTCGAACTGCAACTCGTTTTGAAGTTGCACCGATAACAAGGACAAGATCGCCTGAGTACTCCAAGGTGGCGCAGATCCTTTTTTGCCACTGATACCCTCTGGTAAACATACAAAAAGCTATTGAAAATGGCCATAGAAATAGTGGATTTTCCCATGAAAAATGGGTGGATTTTCCATAGCTATGTTAGTTTACCAGAGGGTATTTGCAAGGTTTTTATAGCTTTCCCAGGGAAAAACCAGCTTCAAAAAGACGGAGAAAACTGAGAAGGCCGGAAAATGGGAAAATATGGGAGCTCAAGCTACATTCATGATGGCTATTCCACGATGTCAACGTTTACAGGAGGTGTTTTTTTCATGATATATCCACCATACACCCTACTTAATCTAGTTCTATTATCTGTATATGATATATATATAGTTCTATAAGCTTTCCAACTTACTCACCTGTGGGGGCGGACTTTGTAAGATTGGACGTCATCCATCAACAATAAATGGTAATTATCTTTTGTGACATATGGGGACGGGATGGGATGGCTCGAAACCTTGTAGCTCTTCACATCAAAATCGCTGGGATTGTTCTGGACCGACTCATCCCCCGAAGAAGGACCAGGTCGGTGTCATGGCGTTCTGGGGGTCAGACACGGGTTCACCAGTCCTGCGTCCAAATGTTCTGAGGTCGACCCTTACTGAAGCAGTTCGAAAATTTACGAACAGTCTGGCGGTGGTTTTTTAGGGAGAAACAATCTCTGGACAGTCGGTGGTTGATGGTGGTTACAGGTATTTAATGACTACTGCAAAAATGATGATAGGGAATATGGTTATAGGGGATATGGTTTTATATCCCATAGAATCCATGTATGCTATATATGGTAACATTTGCCATCCATATACCCCAAATGTTAGTATATATATATAGTATACATGGATCCTATGGGTATGGTATTCTGGATCATAGGGATTATGGTATTCTGGGAATGTGCAAAAGAAATGAAGTCAAGACAATCAGGGCACCATCTCCGATTTGGCCACGTTTGCAGTTGCTGCATCGCTAAAAACTCTGCAAATGGCCACACATCTTTCCCATATGCGAACCATGGTGCTGGAATATTTACCAACATTTGCTCTAAAATTTTAAAAGTCACCCAACAAATGTAGGTAGATATAAATATACCATACATGGAGCATATGGGTTTGAAGACTTGATGCTTCGCTTCGACATCTTCACCACTCGGACGCTCATTCCGCTGGTGGGTCAACTCCTTGAACTTTGTCATCGTCTTTCTCCATGAAAACACGGATGTTGCCCTTTGGAAATTTACAGCTATGGAAGCCATGGCCCCTTTACAGGAGTTTCATCATTTACCTATTGGCCAACAGTAGACTAACATAACTGTGTAAAATCACCATCTTTAATAGGTAAATCATCTTTACGTGGCGTATTTGTTCATAGCACTGTGAGTTAGCAGTTAGCAGAGGAGAAATTCCCATCAATCTCCCCATTGTTGTTGTTTAAATCCCGATTAATCAACATAAAACTTCATGATCATTCCCATTAGCATCCCATTAACACTTCATTAAAAATCACATGAAATTCCCATGAAAAATCAAGCTAAAATCATTAACATCACTAAGAAATCCTATGGAAAAAAAGGGGACCAAAACAGCTCCACCTCCTCAGCTGGAGCCCTTCCAATTGATTCAGTGGGATTTTAATGGAGGATCTTATAATACAAGGGGATTTAATAAGGGATTACCCTCCAGTAAATTAACAGTTCGACCCTGCCAGATAGGGGTTGGAAGATTAGTTTCCATTAAACATTGGTGATTTTCAGGGTCTATGTTTATTTGCCAGAGGGTAAATATGGGATTGAACGGGATTGAATTGACTTAACTGTCACTTTCACTGACCAATCACAAGATAATGGGGAGTTCAACCAATCAACGTTTTTTTTAGGATTTTGTAGTTTGGGTTAGGCAGCAGACAGCAGACATTGGTTGCTTAGTATATCAAATGATTCGTCCTACTCACACAGGCTGTTGTGAGCGCAAAAAACATGAAACCATCCATAGTATCAAGGCTATATATCCCCAAAATTTCGTTTTTTTTAGCGCTCACAAAACCCCTTTCTGTTTTTTTAAAGGGTTATTCACCATCAACAATTCGTAGGGATCACCATCCGACAAAAAAATATGCTTTTTTCAGGGGACAGCAGACCATGGGGGGCCAATCATAGGGGAAGGGGATTATAGAGGCAAATCCACGGCAATTCCAATTTCTGTTTCCCCTTCATACAAGTCCAGCAATCTCCGAAGTGAGCTGGAAATTCATGTCCGAATGGAGCAAGTACACACAAGTTCTCCCTGATTTTCGAGCCAGATTCAGAGGCTCAGTTATGAAAGGTATTTCATACGATGGCAAGGAAGGGATTCTTCTACAATCTGAGGGGGATAAACATGTGCATGTCCGTGTGAAAATGGCTAGTGCGTGCACCACTTTTAGGGGGAGGAACATCCATAAATCATCCATCCGGGTGAATTATAATATTTCACTAACCTGAATCTTGCGGCCATTTGGGGATGATTTCCCGTATACTAACCATGATTCCAGGCTTCGGGAGAACAGTGAGGTCGTGATGAAATTTAACCAAATATATTACACATATATTATAAATAAATCGTTCAGGATTATCACCACACCACCATCATTATGATTGTTTTATCACTGTACAATGGTATATGATCACTATTTTATCAGAACTATTATAACTATTACTGTTAGCTTTATCAGTTATATCACTATACCGTACCACCATGATTACCCTCTGGTAAACTAACATAACTATGGAAAATCACCATTTTTAATGGGAAAACTCACAATGGCCATTTTCAATAGCTATGTTAGTTTACCAGAGGGTACATGTTCCCTCCCAAGTTCCCACCACTCGTCGACTCGTCGACTCGTTGTCCAAGTTTCAGGATTATCCCCCGCGGACGAAGCTCTCCTGTGCAGGCGACCAGCGGCGATGCGAGCTAAGCGGCCCGGTGTTGTAAATCTGGCGCTGAGTTGGTTGGACCAGAACAATATTTATGGGATTTTAATGGGTTTTAATGGGATTTTATGGGATTTTAATGGAATTTATGGCTTTATGAAGAACATTTATATGAACATAAAAATATAAGTATGTTGTTTTTTGTTGGATTTTATGGACATAATTAATTAACAATTAATGGATGTGTATGGTGATGTAACATGACATAATCACTTCGTTATGTTGATGTTAGATGGATATTAACCACCTCATATCTGGCCGGTAGATCTTTCAGTGGCTGAAACATTCAACTCATTGGGGAGCCAGGCCTCGACGTTATTGTTTTCCCGCAAAATGTGAATGTCTTATTGTTCCACACTTTTTCAGTGTTTTTCCGGTCAACTACGCCATAAACATTGGGAACTTGCAGAACTCCAAGTTTTGAGATGAGAGCTCCCCCGTCTCCAGAACCTGTTTATATATTTTTCCTGGAATTTAGACATGTTCATTTCGCCAACCCTATCCTTTTCTTTTTTAAAAACGAGCGACTCATGGTAGGTGTACTGCAAGAAACGCATGATGCGCTCGCTCAGTCCAGGGTCCACCTGGCCGTGTTTCAGCCAGAACGACAGCCAGTGGTAAAATCTGGATATAACCGGCCTGAATTTTTGGGGGTTTCTATAACCAGCCGGAAGTTTGTGGCGTTTCTTCATGTTTCTTCCATCTTACCCTCTGGTAATTTAACATAACTATGGAAAATCACCATTTAGTTCGTGAATTTTCCCATGGAAAATGGGTGGATCTTTCCATAGTTTTTTGTTAACGTTTACCAGGCCGGGTAGATTTTTCGTTGGAGATCACTCACCGCTGGCCACCGGAGTCGAGTCTTTGCTGCCAATTCGTAGGCCCCTTGGATCCATTGGTGCTTCAATTTGGGGCCAGAACTACCAGGTGTTTCCCTTGGTGTGTTTCCAATAGGATACCTATCTGATGTCTAGCCTCAAATGCCCCAAGAAAAACATCGTGGGATGCAACACGGTCATCCATGAACATGAGCGACATGTTCATCAGTTCAGCCTCGCTTTCAACCTGAAAAAAACAAAAAAATGCTGTTGTTTTCTGGTACCATCTGGTTATGACTAACATAGCCATGGAAAATCCACCCATTTTTAAGAACGGTAAACCATCTATAAATGGGCCATTTCCCATGGCTATGTCAAATAACCAAATGGTATATGATCTGGTCATGGGAACCTCATGGGAACCCCCCTATATCTTCAACCGGAACATCATCTGCATGTCTGGGTAGGAACTAGACCAGAGGGGATTGTTGGGAATGGGATGCTTGAAGTAGATACACTGCATATCATTACATGGTAATCTGGTCAGGTATGATATATCGTCTATAATATATATATATATATTACCCTCTGGTAAACTAACAGTTTGCTATTGAAAATGGCAGAAATAGTTGATTTACTCATTAAACATGGGTGGATTTTCCTATTTTCCATAGTTTTTTGTTAACGTTTACCAGGCCGGGTCTTTCTTTCATCAATTTCTGGAGATCATGGCTGCGGAGACGACCTGAAATAAGGCTAGCATCATTCCAGTGAGGTCGTCGCGACGTGAGGTCGTTGCAATTGACATCAACGATGAATCAATTGACCCAGATTCATCGAAACTAGCATCAAATTTAGGGAGTGTACCTTTGTATCCATATTTACCATCATTCTAGTGATGTTTTCCCGGGAGTGATTCAATGAATTCTCCATGAATTCTAGTGGTGGGATTCACCGTGAATTTCACCATTTTACATACCAAATACCCATCCGATAGACCTCGATTCACCATCCATCACCATTTTGTTCGGCTAGCACCGCGATAATTCATACGATTCACCATCCAGAAAACCAAGATGTTCCAATTTGTTTACTGTTTACCAATGGTTATGAGACGATTACTGGGTCTACCACATTAATTATGTGCCATAGGTGCCAGTCAGGTGCCAGTAAACCTAATTAATATGAAGACCTAATTATACCTCCAAATGCTTTAATGTGGTCAACATTAATCCAATCCAACTATTATCATACCAACTATTATTATTGTTATTATGATGGTATATTATTATGGTTAACATGAATCCAATCTAACTATCGTTATTCTGGGTAAATTATAATATTTCACTAACCTGAATCTTGCGGCCCATTTGGGGATGATTTCCCGTATGCTAACCATGATTCCAGGCTTCGGGAGAACAGTGAGGTCGTTATAATTTCCCCAGATTATTGGCTTTACCAAGTCTCAAGCCTTCCCCCCTGGCGCAGTACGCCTGGTTCTGCCGAAGGAAACGTCGGAGCTGACCTGCGACCCCCGAGAGGGGCGGCTCGAAAGTTGCGACTCGAAAATCGGATCTTAATGCAACAAGATTACTTTCGAGTGATGCATCACCATTAATCACCATTGGATTTTATTTGGGATTCTAAAAAATAGGATCTTGCTAATTGGATTTTATTGGGATTTGAATGGCAAGATTACTGGTGATGAATCGCTGGTGATTTTTGACCTGAACGGCCTGCAAAGGCCATCACATGTAAAAATCATCAATGAGCAAATGCGATTTGATGGGATTCTCATGGGATTTCATGGGATTTCAATACCATGTTACTTGTGTTTGTTTGATGGGATTTTAATGGAATTTAATGGGATTTTACTGGTATTTTACTGGGGTTTTAATGGACTTTTAATTGGATGTTAATGGAATTTGATAGTATTCAATGGGATTTTACATTGATGGCATTTAATGGAATTCGATAGGATTAAATAGGATTTTAATGCGATTTGATGGGATTGAATGGGATTTCATTGGCGTTTGGATGTGTATGGTCCCCAATTGATCAGCCCAAAACCACACCAAGCCTTAAGTTTCCCATGAGTTTTGGGGCGGTTAACGTGGGAAAGCCAAGGGGGACCATGGCTGCCATCAACCACTTGGGGATGGCTTATTTTATGCCATGAAAATGCTAAGGACTTGGGCCAAGTTCTGGGATTCTATTCCCTTCAGATCGTTAGAAACCTCCAATCATTTTCATCGTGATTAATGGTGGTTAATGGTGATTAATGGTGGTTAATGATGGTAAATGATGATTAATTATCTGCTTGGTGGCTTGGTGGTTGAGCCACCTACCTACCTCTGAAAAATGATGGAGTGAGTTCGTCAGTTGGGATGAGTTTTCCATTCCCAATATGATGGGAAAGTCATTCAAAATTCCATGGTTCCAGTCACCACCAACCAGATCAATTATCATTCAACTATCAATTGTCAGTTGCATCTCCATCATGTTCGTGATTAATAGCCACTTTGAATAACCAGTCAGAGCCAGGGTATTTGAAAATGGCTCTGGATGAAAAAACCATGACCTCACTGTGACATGTTTATTGCTGGAATGATGGTTAGGTTTGGAATCATTCCCATAGCTGGAATCATCTCAGCTGTTTTCAGGTTGGTACCCTCTTTTGAATTTAACATAGCTATTGAAAATGGCCCATTTATAGTTGATTTACCTATTATATAAAGATGGTGATTTTCCATAGTTATGTTAGTTTACCATAGGGTAATTTATTTTAAGTTCCATGATGTTGTTTTTTCAAGTTGGTGTACTATTCATTAAGGTTCAGGTTGGTGAATTCTGATACCAAGCTGGTAGCTGAACAGTTGGCTATTGAAAATTGCCGTAGAAAGTTCGCTGATGTACCTAAGCGTGATGACTTTCCAGTTCGCTTTTTGTATGTTTAGCATGCCGGGCATATCCCATTTGTATCAACATTTTTTGTTGGTCAAATCCTTATTTATTCATCACCATAATGTCTTATAAAAATCCCATGAAAATTCCATTAGAATCCCATTAGAAGTCCATTAACATCCCATTAAAATCACATAATCAAATCACTTTAAAATCCCATTAAATCCCATCAAATCTCATTAAATCCCATTAACATCCAATTAACATGTATATTATTAGACCTATCCATAGCCTATCCATGCTTATCCAGTGGAAAATGTGAGAAATTCATCAGGTCATTGCAGTTTTCACACACAGTCAGATGTCTGAAACATGGCCCAAGATTGAATTCACAAGTCTCAATCTTCCCAACTGAAACCACCATTCTGAAACCCATATTTCGAGTCTCCCATTTCTTATGATTATTAGTTCCATTTAGTTTCTGATCATTCAGAATCTAAGTCTTCCCTTTTCTGAAATGCAAAAACAAATTCAAAATAGGTCCGAAACTCCCAAAATCTCATCCAAAAGCCAAAATCGGTCCGCACCACTTAATTCAGTCGCCCCTTGCGCGCACTTTTCGCCGCCAAAGGGCCCAGTTGTTGCGTTTCTTCAGAACGACTGCGATGAAGGGCACCCACTAAGGAGGTCATAGAACTGATCACACTTGAAGAGGTGACCTAGTCGATGGCGATGCCATTGGGCCATGGCGGATGAAAAAATATGAAAAAATCACATCCGGCGAAGTCGAGTTTTGAGATGTTCTTGAAAAGTGCCTCATTTTGGCATACCAGATACATGGCATAATATATATATATATGTAATTATGTGTGTATATATATATACATAGAATATAAATCAATTCGTTGACTATGGACCATTTACACTTTATATATGGACCATTTATAATCTATTTTCCATTTATATATGACTGAATTTGGTTGTATCATATAAATCATGTGCATGGGAAAAAAATACCAGGGACCATTCGCCGCTTAAAAAGACGAGGTCGACGAGGCGCCAAAGATATGAAGCCCACCACGTTGGAATACATCCTTGGATGGGACCGTTGGGCCGGTGGAGGTTGGAGGTGCCCATTTTTTCATCCAAAAACCAATGTTTTTTTAATGATTTTGAAAAATGTTGTGCATAGACATAAATGATAATGGGGGCATCACCACAATGACAAGCCCATGTGGTTTGAAAAAGGGGAACTCCTTTTTCTAGACACACTTGGAGCTCTTTGGAGCTCTTTGGACGGCGACTTGGGCAGGTTTCTGCCTGAATTCTGCTGCTGATGGTCACAAAAAAAATCGATGCCTGCGGGTAATCCATAGCAATGAAGCATCCTGTCAAGCGAGGTAAATCGTCTGTAGACGTAAATAAGGACTCGGATAAGATTAATTGTTCAGTGGATTGTATGATAATAATGAGGCATGAGGACTACCCAATAATTAACATACATATAATCCCAATCATAAATATGTATGTTAATTATTGGGTAATTAATATGAGTAATAATGAGTAATAAATATGTCTAATGAGTAATACCCGATAATTAACATACATTAAGAGTACATTTCTATGTTCAGTGGATTGTTCATTTCCGGGGCAAAGCCAGATGGCAATCTGTTCCTTCCTCCCCTATGATGCCATCGCTAACAAAAGCTCCAACATTTGCCCAAAATCCCAAAATCACCGAGTTGCTGGTAGGTTTAAACATATACCAACACCATGGGTTGCATATGGGATATAAATGGATATCATTTACCATCTGGTTATTTAACATAGCCATGGAAAATCACCATTGTTAATAGGTAAACCATCTATAAATGGGCCCTTTTCCATGGCTATGTTAAATAACCAAAGGGTATATTCTTAGTCTGAAAAAAAAGCTACAAAGCCACATTTTTAAGGTGACATGTCCATTTTCTCTGGTGAAGTCCTAATCTGTGATGCTTAAATCCCAGTCTTATTGGTTCATTCATCATGCGTTGTTGGTCCACATACATTCACCTGAGATTGCGGTGAAAAAAGAACAATGGCATTAAATTAGCAACAAAAACAATCATAAATCAGTATGTGTGAACCCTTTTTGATGGCATCCTCGTTTTTTGGCTAGTAAAAAATCCCCATTTTGCTTGGTGTTTTATTCCAGTTTGAATCTCAATGTTCTCTGCTTCCACTGAAATCCTCGAAATTCTCCAAAATCCATGAATCCATGTTCGGGTAAATTGGTATGTGAAATTGTCATTTTGTGTGAGCTATGTGAGCTATGGTTGAAAAAAAATACCCTGAGAAAACCATTGTTTTTTGTTTTTTGGGGTATACAAATCCCCACGAATGGATTGATAAAAATATGCCTCAATCCCATCTGTGGGGATCTCATACCTTGAGGTGGATCCGAACTGAAAAAAGTTGGATTTTTCTTCAGCAAACGAGTTCGATATCACCAGGTCTACCCAACTTGGTGAAATTGGAGTTTTTTTTATTCACCAAGTTAGCCATAAATCAGCAAATCCCCATCAAAATCTACCATTTTCTTGCGTAAATCCCCATTTTCCGATGGTTTCTCCATGATTTCTCCCATCGCTTCCCCGGCCGTTGCCGTGTCCGCCCGGGCGCCCTTCGGTTTCGCTGACCGCTTCAATGGCCGTGGCACCAAAGCCCAGCTGAGCCAGAGCCCAACGGACGCACCTGATGTTTTTCGTGGCAGAAATTGGGACATTTTGAAGATGTTATAACAGAGGGATATATGTATAATATACAGTACATATATATATATTACATAACTTAATAAGTATATCATTATTTCTATAAGATCGTGATATAGCAATGTATACTAATGAGGAATATAACTGGGATATGGGAATATTTGAATTTATACGAATGGGATACTATCGGGATATACTATTGCATTCTATTGTACAGTATTTAACTTTTGGATTTTTAGAGGAATTTGAAGATTTTATAGAGATATGTAGCTTACAATAATTAAATACTATATGAGAATGATGAACAATAGGGCCCTAAATTCCATACTGGTGCCCCAAAACGGTGATCGCTAAGTTGGTTTATAACTCCAATAACTAGGGTTTATGCTAGATCGAACTAGTTCATGGGGGTGACCATCTGGTTATTTAACATAGCCATGGAAAATCCCTCATAAATGGAGGTTTTAATAGGAAAATCATCAAAAAATGGGCCATTTTCCATGGCTATGTTAAATAACCAAAGGGTATAAAGGAATAAGTATAACTTGGGTCACCTGCATGATACGTTCGATAGGATGGTTTAAGCAAAATCTTACAGGAAACTCGCTGGTTGTTTCATCCAAATCCAGTGGTATGCTGCAACTATCACCAGAAACAATTTCTGGGATGTTGTGTGTAAGATTGCGTACGCGTGTTTATATATGATGTGCATATACAATATTCATCAATATTCTATAAGATGTAAAAGGTGTAGTGTGTATTTTAAAAATTATCTAAATATATTTTTAGATTTTGCAAAAACCAATTATTGGTGTATTTATATTGCAATTATTATATTTATTTAAGATTAATAAAACCAATTGCAAAAATAAAAAACTGCAATCTGCACATCGGTCAGTTACGTCGGCAAGACCTCCACATTGGATCCCTTGCCGCCCAAGGCACGCGTAGTATTTTTCAAAAAATGTGTTCTCCTCGCTACGGCATTTTTTGCACATGACGCTATTTAAAGAGATCCATGGCCGAGGCGATATACCAAAGATATCAACTTGCAGCAAGGTGGGAAAATTGTATAAAATGGTCATATCCTGAAAATTCATGTGCTGTTCTTGTTGTTTACTTCAGCTATGTTGGCATTTGATAAAGTTATTAGCCACCAGCTTGGGAAAGCTGCGAGGGGATCATTCCGGAACCAGATGGTGTTTTCGGTAGACTTTGGCAAATTGCTCAGGTTTCATCTTACTTCAGTTGATCAGCATTCCGGTTTACGAATCTTTGTGATACGGAAAAAAACAACATAACATTCAGATCAATATGCATCATATTAATCAACACAAAGTCGAAAAACCGCACACATCAAAGTTGGTGACCCGCAGGAGGGATCCACATCGACGTCAATCTTTTCATCTCGATCCACATCGGTCCTGATAACCAAAGACCGTGAGCCACGTTCGACCATCGGTGCCTCCCAAACCAAACCAAACACCTGGAGATGGAGCAACCCATGGGTGCCATGCCCCGTGATCATGATGGATTTCCACAGAAAAATGGTGAAACATGTGATACCAAGCATTTGTCATCATTGTTCATTCATCAGTTGGTTGTGAAGAATGCAGAAGCTGCGATTTTTGGAGGACATCTAAATCATAAGATGTTTGCCATCTTCTCACAATCAATCAATTTTCGAGTTCTTCAGCCACGAAAAGTCGCTAAGTTCAGAAAATCCCAGTATCCCATGCAGCAAAAAAAGTGGAGAGTTTGAATCAAGTCCTTAGCCCCTTAGCCTTTTTCTTGTCTGGTTGGTAAAACAATCCCTCTGAAAAATTGGATTCTCATCCCAACATATCCCAACTCTTGGGGAAAATGGTCCAAAATTCCAGTCGGTTCCAGTCACCACCAACCAGATATTTGTTGTTATTCCAATGATTAACCATAGATATACCATAGATTAACCATAGATATACCATAGATTAAGTCACCATGGTTCTAGTCACCACCAACCAGTTGTAAATTACCAAATCTCAAGTTCCCCAAAGCTCTCCACAGTTCTTTTCTCAGTCACAGTGGGTACCCCCAAACACCGATGAGAAATTTTCCCCATTCAATCTACGTTGAGTCACAGAATTGGATGTAAATCCAAATATTTTTCATGAACCCTTTTTAAACACCATCCAATTCAATAGAAAACCACCAATGTCTGGACATATAGCTGGTTAGTGTTGCTAAAAAACACCAGTCCCCAAAAATATCATCAATTTATCGCCTCCCAACTTTTCCCAAATTTTCCCAACTTCAACCAGTTCAACCAGCCAACCGGACTTGTTTTTCTTCCACACCAGGCTGCAAGCAATCACATGTTCCACCAAAATCATGGCCACCATGACCTGGTGCTGAGCTATTGCTGTTCATCTGTGTGTATCTTTTTCGAAGTATATGTTTGTCTACATCTACATCAATACCAATATCTTAGTCATCTATGATAAATATAGATATATAATGATATATACCCCCAGGTTTATCAGGTGCCGCGTTTAGAGGTTTATCATGTGACCAACTCTTTGGGGTTTGTTTTGGGTTTCATTTAGGGTATCATGATAGGTTTTTTAGGGTCTTTACCACGGTTTTAACCAGATTTTGCTTTCAAGGCTTGCTTCGGGTGTTACCATCTGGTTATGACATTCACAGTTCGCCATGGAAAATCCACCCATGTTGAAGTTCGGTAAACCATCTATTTTCTATGGGCCATGGCTTTACCATGGCGAACTGTTAGTCATAACCAGGTTGGGTATATCCCATTATCATCCCATTCTTCACCATTGATATATCGAAACATGCGGTGACCACATTTTAATACATTTTGTATATTGTATAGTATATAATATACATACATATTAGTAGTTCTATATAATACATATATCTATATACCTATAAAAACAATATCTGTATCTCCTTTTCTGCCGAGCCACCAATGCGAGACTGAATTGGATGGAAGCCACTTCAGATTCAAACTGGTCCTGCGCAGGTTGCTGTTGCGGCTGATGTTTTTCTTTTTTTTCTACGTTGCCCTTTAGCCAAGTTGGTTTATGAATAGAATAACTTGGGTTTATGGTGAATATAGGTTGGTCTGAAAACCCATTCTACTGGGGGTATACACCCAGATACACATGCAAAGTATCATTGGGTGTATCACAAAAAGGTTGGGTTGGTCTGAAAATGGTGCAAAAACCCCGGGTCATGGTACACTTTTCATAGGGAAAATCACATTAAAACCCAATGGACGACTCGGGATGGCGAAAACCTTCATGGCGGATCATGTAGGTTACTGGCTTGGGTGATGATTAGAAATTAAGAAACTGGCTTCAGATGTAAGATCAGTTGTATGCTATTGGGAATATTAGATCTATGATTTTTTTTTTAGTTCTTGTTATACAGGAATATACATGTGCAGTAATAGTGTTAATAGCCCATAATAGCCCCTGGGCCCTTGCTTTGTTAATATCCAGTAATATAGAACCAGCTTGTAGCATGCAAAAATTTATTTGCTTCGTCGCTGTTGCTAGCTGAACCCTCTTTCGATGGGACGCAGTGCTTTTTCAATACACTACCCTCCTGTAAACAAACATAGATGTATATAGAAAACCCACCATGAATGTAGAGAAACCATGGATCCATGGGTTCTAAAAGGGAAACCATGGGTTTTCCACATCGTTTTATGTATGTTTACTAAGTTTACTATTACTTGGTTGAACCTCTGGCACCTGGCACCGGACAATTCCCCATTTGTTCATGTCTAATCTAAATGACATTCCCTTATCCGACGTATCCAATTAGCCACGGTTGAAATGCTGGTACATTAGCCCTAGTCTGAAAATACATATGGTGCCCCATTGCATGAATTGGGTTATCACCATTTTCCTTTAAACATAGAATCGTTTTTGAGGTATACCACTTTTCCAGACCTAGGCCTAGGCCCATATATCGTATTAACTTGGTTGTACCATATCATTATATTATTTCCACATATTTCCATATGAACCTATAAAACTGGGGGAACCGCAGCAGGCACAAACAAGCGAAGCTTTGATCCTTTTTCGGCAGACACGTGACCCCCATTTGGATCGTCCTTAGCTTCCAGGCTTGCCTTGAGTCATGTAGCGAGCGAGCAATGAGATTTCACACCGCCCATACTTTATCGAGCTAACATGACTAGCAGCAAGTCGTGATCTTCACGTTGCCTGGAATTTCCTTCTTCGGATAGCGACCAGTATCCTTGATTACAAACATGTCTCAAAAAGCTAGAATTCATTCTTTTGGTCATTGGATCGGTAATCATGTTCGTTCCTGCGACCCATCGCAGACTTCCGCTGGTGCGGTTCATGTCATCCTTGAGAATGGCGAGGTCGATGGCAGTACGCTTGTCCTCCACCTGAGAGAAAGTGCAGACCAGCTTGTTGATACAGTCATAGAGCGACCGTGAGTCGACCACTGATATGTAGGGGATGCTGTTGAGCTTCTTCTCCCATTGATGGTCTTGCATGTCGTTTCCCATGAGCTCCAAAAGCAAGAAACGATGCCAATGAATTTGACCAACGCCATAAATCAGTGCTTGGCATTCCGCACTGAGGGTATTGACTGTCTTCCTTTTTAACTTTGTTGATTTCCATGACGTCACTGAGACCATGTGAGGTTGTTTCTCTGTTTCCATCCGTTTGTCATAAAACATCATGATAAAACCTCCTTGGCTACTGCAGTTGAGGAGCTTCAAGAAGGTATCGTTGATCTCGCTGGCAGCTAACTCATGACCAGCTGGCTGTTTGCCAAAGTAGGTAGCTCCTGTCCATGAGGTTTCACTCCACATTCGTATACTGTTACCTTTTGTCCATTCATCTTCCAAAACTTCTCCTTGTCCACTTACTGTCCGTCGTCCGGGTTGTAGGCCATGTAAGTCTGGTCCATCCGTGGCTCCTGGATGAAATAGTGTTCTCCGTGGCGTCACATGGTGTCTTATCCAGTGAGTTGATGTTTCTTCCCAAAAATCTGTTGAGTTCTCCTCCAACTTGTCTTTGTCTCTCGCATTCGCCCATGAGGCATCTGTTGCTACGCCAACCCGCAAATTCTCGGGTTTGATGGGCATGATTTTTATCCCGCTCTCGGGATATTTCTTGGCTTCTGCTGTGATTGTATTGGCTTCCACGAGGTCTTTGACTCGTGGTTTTGGAAAGGCTTGTTGTAGTAGAGCAACACGTCCTGCTAGGTCAGGGCGGCTTTCTTTCGATAGCCATGATAGTGCACCGATGCTGGCACGGAGTTGAGAGATCTCCGAATCTGTGCAGAAGCTGTATCTTTGTCGTTTTCGGCATTTCTGAATTGGAATTTCAAAAAGTTTTTCTGCAACGTAGTGGGCTTGACTCACCTCGATGCTGTAGTCTTCCTTTTGCTCGAAGTACTTGCCTGTGAACTTGCCTTTGTCGAACTGGTACTTCCCAAGCTTGTAGTGTTTTCTGATCTCGGCCATGGCTTCCAAATGTTCTTCGTCTCCACCATGTAGTAGATCATCGGTTGCAACTGCTATGAGTCCACTGAGATTTCCGTTCTTGTTGATCTTGTAGTAGATGCATGGGTCAGCAAGAGACTGACGATATCCCATGTTGGTGGTGAGGAACTTTTGTAAGTGAAGGAACCAGGCCAGTGGGCCGTCGGTTAAACCGTAGCAAACCTTCTCTAGCTTCAAGAGTTGTGCTGGTGATAGCCCGGGGATGCCTTCTCGAGGTTGTGTGGCGTAGATGGTCCGCTGAATGCGGTCTCCTGAGTGAAAAGCTTGCGTGAAGTCCAGGAAGCCGAGTCGCCAACAAAAACTGGCTATCAGCTGTGCCACTGTAAGCGTACCTTCTCGAGTGACCTGAGGAGTTGCGGCTTCGATCTCGTCTGCTCCTTCTTCTGAGTATCCTTTCATTACATGCCTTGCCTTTGCTTTACATGGTTCTCCCTCTAGATCACCAGGTTGTCGATCTAGTAGAAGTCCTTCTTGACGTGCTGGTTCGACTTCGTGTGGTTCTAAAGGTTTGGCGGTCAAGACGAGCCTGCTTTCCATGATCTTCTCTGGCATGGTTTGTCGTATGCTGGCAGATTCTTCCACACTCAAAGCTCTGTAGGCCCCGATGTCGGTGTTGTTCTTGAATTCCTTCTTGATGGCCTGGTCAAAACACTTTTTGCTCCTTTCATCGAGTGCTTGATATCTCATTTCCTTCTTTTGTCTGCTTTTGAGGAGACTTTCCACCTTGGCAAAGTATATCTCCAGGTACTCTGTGCGGGACCTCTTTGTCGATGGTTCATCATGTTGATCTTCTTCATTTCCCTCATGTTCTCGTTTGTGGGTTTCATCCATATGTTGATCTTCTTGTATGTCTGGTAGCGGAGCTGGAACAGGAGGATCTCGTCCCGATACTTCTGGCTGAGGTTCTTCGTAGTCAGGTGGTTTCACAGGGCCAAAAGCTTGTGGTCCTTTCATCCGGTACCTTTTGATTGGCATGTCGAACTTATTGGTTTCTGGATCATCTCCAAGTGTTGGTAACTCCTCCGGGTCAGGTGCTATTGAAGGTTCATAGCCGTCAGATTCTTCTCCTTCTTGTTCTCCCTCTTCCGGTGGTAGTGGATGATCTGACAAGTCCAGGTAGCCCTTGGTCGGCTCGGTGAGGAAGTCCTTCTTCATGTTCACTATGTCTTCTAACCATCCTGAGATAGTGAGGTTCTCCTCGGTGCTGGCTCTTCGGGTCCTTTCAGGGCTGGCTTTAATCAGGTAGCCTCGGTGAGCGAGCCATAGTGTGCTGGGCTGATCGATCATGACAACCCTAGCTGGTCCTTGCCAATATCCTGGATGAAATTTGAGCTTCTTGTCGGCGCCCATGCGATAGAAGTAGACCATCTCGCCGATCTCGAACTCGGTCAGTGGCCTCGGACCGCTAGAAATAGCCCTTCGTAGAGCATCGCTAGCATCGGCTTCGACGAATGCTGTGGCCGCTGCTTTCCTCATTTTCATGGATCTTTCAATTGACAGATCGCCGACTTTCGGATTTGGTTCGTGTGATCGTTGGTCATGTCCACCACTGAGAATGCTCCCTGGAATGTTTGGATTGAATCCGAGAACTCGTTGGCAAGGGCTGTATCCTCCTACTGACATCATGCGGTTCTTCATCATGCATGCTGCTCCTACTAACTCTTCCCATTCTTTCATGTCAGAACAGCTAAAGGAATCCATTGTCTTGAGAAGAATAAACTTGAAGCTTTTGCCGTGTCGTTCAGTAATTCCTCTCTGTTGGGGCATCTCGACGGCGGCTGGATCGATGTAACTGCCATCGGCCTCGGCTTGAGCTGCAAATTCGGCCCGAAATTCCCTGCCAAGGTCAATGGCCACCCGCTTCGGCGCTCCAAAGATTCTTGTCCAGTGTCGGTATCCTTCTCGAACATGTTGTGGTTTCTTTCCAAGCAGTGGTATAACTAATTGGAATTTTGAGCTCCAATCCACGATGTTCAAGGAGGGTCGTGTTTTTCCTCCTAATGTAGGAAGGTAAACGACATCCACGCCGACGCATTCGTTGAACTCCAATTCTTTTGGTGGTGCACTTCTCCTTGCTGGCTGGGTTTGTTTGTGTCTTTCACAGACGCTGCATTTCATGTTTCTGGCTGCCTCGATGATTTCCGTCTTGGCTTTGGCATATCGTAAGATTCGCAGGAATCTCTCTTCGGACGGATGTCCAAGCCCTTCATGGGCTCTCTGAAGCAGCCTGCTAAGGTTGAATCTGCTCGCCAGAGGTAGGTCTTTCCCTTCCTCCTTGTCTGGTACTGGAAGTACTGCAGCAGGATGCCCGTCAGAAACACAGGGACCTCTGGGTTCTTTATGGCGTCGAAGGGCTTGAGGTCCTCCTGATACTTTTGAATCTTGACAAAGATCCTCACGTACGGGTACGTTAGGATGAGGTGGTTCTGTAGGGCCTGCAGGTTCTGTAGGATCTGGACATACTTGATCTCCAGGTCTTTCATCGGGAAGATGCGGTTCTTCTCCAGGATCTTCTCCAAATTCTTCCATGATTTGTTGCCAGTCCTTTTCTTGATGGAGTACCTCCCGTTCGATGCGGAGGAGATCGTTGATTTTCTCATCCTCCCCATAGATTTCTTCCAGGGTGTGTACTTGCACTTTTCCAGCAATTGTCTCTCCATAGGCCTTGAGGATGGTTTCCTTCAGTTGTTCCGGGTATTGTTGGGCCTTTGCCGACCGGTTTCCTCCGACAATCATCTCATGTTGATGGCTGCCATCGCACTGTCTTCTCAAAGCTGTTGATAGGTGTTCGGAGTTGGTGAGAAAACCGGTGGACTTCCGTTGTGGCTGCCCGCTTTCTCCTCTGAGGCCATAGCAGCATTGATCTGCCTTGGACATGAATGTAGTAGGGTTACGAAGTAGCCGTTCCATGGCACGATGTTTCCAGGAACTTGCTGAAAATGGGTGCTCGAACAGAAAGGTGATTCCGAGTTCAATGCAAAGTTCACAAACTGAAATTGCGAAAAGAAGAAGTTGGTTGCCCTCATGTTTCTTTTTCAAATAGGCTCTCATGAGTTCAGGAATTGTTTCACGTTTGTGTTTGGACAAGTTTTGCAACTGTGAATGCATCCGACATGGTGGTGAGATAACGACAAGACCTGGTCTGACCTGCCTAATGTATGACATGACAGTTTCACGTTTGTTTTTGCACATCAAATCATCTCCAAGTGTGATGTCAAATGCTTTTCCGGCAATCAGTCCATGTCTTTTGGCAAGTGGTCCAAAGCAATTGGGGTTGTAAATTTCGGCAACAGTTCTTAATTGTTGATGACTCAGCCCCATGACTTCCGCGATCTCATGCGTTCTTTTGGACCCCCGGGGATGCAGCGTGAACTCGCTACAAATCTCCTGGTTCATATTTCGCATCAGATCAGTGACGTTGCTCCCTTGGCTGTCACTTTCGGAAAATATCAGTTGGATCTGACGCCAAAAGGCTACTGCTTGCTTTAGAGCAGCGCGTATTTTTCTACCCAGCTTCTCAGGACAGGGTTTCATCTCGGTCACTTTCGCTCTTTCCATTTCATGTACTCCTTGAACTCGGCGAACTCCTTCTCCAGGGTCGTGCTGCTGCTCGTGGCCTTCGGGTTTGGGAACTCGGCCAGGAGTTTGTTGCAGCTGCAGCATGTGGTCTTCCTGACAGACCCGTTGCTCCCCTTTCCATGAGTCTTCATGTGAGGGCATGCGTCCTGGACAATCTTGGTCAGGATCTCGAAGTCGGTCTTCGCTGGTTCTCCAGGTTGTTGTCGATGCTTCCAGCTTGTTACATCCTGCAGTGGTTGCACCATGCACCACTGAAAGAAGCGGCACTGTGTCCCCTGCTCCTTCATGCATCGAAAGAACATCCGATCTGGATTCTTCGAGGTGTGGCTGACGTGGATCTGTGATGGCATTTGGCACAGGCACATAGGACGTGGTCCGACCACCATCTCGATGCCATAGACCTCGTCGGCCGTCTTGCCCGTCTTCTCCACGATCTTCCCTTTTGCTGATGCCTTCTTGGCCATAGGTTTGCTCGTCGTTGAAGTCGGGCTCGGTGACTTCCAAGTCATGACTGAGACGGATTCTGACTCCGTTTCGCTCGAAGAACTGTCCTCCTCGCTGTTCTTGTTCTCGACGTTGTAGCTCCTGCGACTGATCTCCTCCATGATGAAGTTGTGGAAGTCCTCGAGGTCCTCGGTCTCCATATGACGAACTGCTTGACGTATAAGACGTGGTTGATCTCGACGTCCTCGAAAGACCCGTTCGACCATCAGGTGGAACGGGATGAGAATCTGCAGCAGCTTCCTTGTCATTCTCGACCAGGCAGTGAAGGCGACCGGGATCGTCGGTTCGGCTCCCCGGCTGCGCTTGTTGCTGCAGGTCTCCATCATGCTGTTGATCGACAACTTGACCGGTCTTTGCTATCGCGTCCTGTCTACCTGAAAGCTGAGCTGCGGCGGCAAATGGAGGGTTTTGCAAACGAAGAATTTCAAATTCTTGTGATTCATGAACTGCAGAAGAGTCTTGCCACTCGCCTAGGTGTTTCAGCTGTTCATTTGTGAAGTTCTGCAACGGAATACGGAGTGCACCAGTTGGCCCCAAATGAAGTGGAATCTGTTCCCTGCCGTCCCGAAAAACGATTGTTAATCCCTTGTCAGAGTCCAAAGTGATGTTCCCTTTGCAACGAAGTAGAAAACTCAAAGAGATCAGAAACGGCGCTCCAGAAGAGTTGTCTTGTTCAAAAATGGCTGGTTTCAAAAACGATCCCTTCGGTCCCAATGAACATGGAATATTTGCAACCCGTGTTGTAACAGATGTTTGATGGACACTTCGAAACTTGTTGATGGACTTGTGCATAGTAATATGAAGTTCACCAGGAAGTTGAATTCCAAAAAGTCTCAGCGTCTCTGCCCCGATAGCCATGCGTTGACACCCAGTGTCCACTGTTGCACATGTGTGGTCAAACGTTTCAGGGGTCCTACAAACATTATTACAGATCCAATTTTCAAGTTCAAAAACACCATAAACATTCTCAAAAACAACTGATACCTGGCTGCTGTCCATGTATGCTCGGCTGTCGCTACCATCTTGGAAAATGTCAAAACCTGTACAAAGCTCTAAGTGACCTACTAGGCTGATTTCAGCTGCTTCGGTCTTGGTCTCGTGAACCTGCTCTCCGATGAAGAAGACCTCATTGGTGTTCTCAAGGTAGTTGGTTTCGCTGGCACGGCTGCTGTCAGATCGGTCCGGCTTCGAAGGAGGATTACGACACTCCCTTTTCCAGTGTCCGATCATCCCACAGCGAGCACACCTGGTTCGTCTCTTGAGTGCTGAGATGCTTTCATCGGTTTGTCGCCGACGATAATCTCTAGATTGGCCTTGGTGGAAATTCCCAGCAGCGGCTCGGCCATTGCCATACCCACGGGCTAGCTCCCGACTCTTCTTGTTCTTGATCGACTCGGTGTAGCTCTTTTTGCGCTGCTGCACAAAAGTTGCCAGGATCTCTGCGGCCTCGGCCTCACTGATGATCTCCTCGTCGTCGACAGGCTTCTGCAAGTCGATGATGTGCGCCTCGAGCTCCTGAATCTCGTCATCTGGATCGTACTCATACTCAGAGACCTTGTCCTCTTGCTCGACCTCGTCCACTGTGTAGAGCAACTGCTGAACCTTCTTCTTGTCCTTGTCGGCTCCAAGTTCCGCGGCCGAAAGCCGAGTCTCATTTTTCCTCAACCAATTTTTGATTGAGGATGTTCGGATACATCCATGAGTGAAGTTCAAGAGATTCTTGGTCTCCATGTCGGTGAGCAAGAGGGCGTTGATCAGCAAAAATCCCTCGTACTCCTCAGGCAACTGAATTGCATGTTGGTGTACTTTTCGTAAGGCGGTGTCCCACCTCGAGAAAAACTCTCTCCAGTCTTCGCCTTTGAGACGTCGTAGGTGGTATGTCACCCGGGACATCGCTGTCAACATGTGTTCTTGTTGATCATCTCCATACCTTTCAGGACGATTCATGTCATCCAAGAGCTTCTCGGCATTGGTTGGGTCCTGAAGCCACTGGTTGTCCTTGGCCCAGTGCTTGTAGACCTCGAACGGTGTGAGGCTAAGTGCCTTCAAAATCAAGGGTCCCCTCATCCTCGGTCTAGCTTTGGTCGTAGCTATCCAGAGTCTGGCCTTGATGTTGAAGTCCTCGAAAGGTGTCGTTCCGTCCCAAGACGGTGGTGGTCCTGAGGTTCCTCGTCCCTCATTTCCTTCTTCTTCTTCATCATCCTCTCTCTCTCTGGTTCTCCTTTGCCCTATCGGATTCAGACGTCCTTCGCGTTCCAGCTGTAAAAACCTCTGGAATCTAGCAAAATGGTCAGATTCGCTACCCTGGGCAATTGGAGGGCTGCGTCTTCCCGGTGAAGCCGCGGGCGATGTAGCTGGTGGCTCATCCAAGTCCCCATCGGTCGGAACAGCCGGAGTGGCCATCTACCAGGGGGTCAAGTGTCAAGCCTCCAAAGGATCAAAACTCCCCAAAACCCGAAAAGATTAGGCCCGATCGAATCGGGCTCCGCTACCACTATAAAACTGGGGGAACCGCAGCAGGCACAAACAAGCGAAGCTTTGATCCTTTTTCGGCAGACACGTGACCCCCATTTGGATCGTCCTTAGCTTCCAGGCTTGCCTTGAGTCATGTAGCGAGCGAGCAATGAGATTTCACAGAACCATTATTAATTATTGCCTCCACAAACCCAAGTTATTCAATCTATAAACCACCTTAGTTATAATCACGTTCCAACTGGTGGTACCCGTAAATCAGCCAAAATTAGACCATTTTACTATTGAAACCCATGGCTTTGGGGATCCCTCATTTTAGGAAACCTCCATATGTCCAGTGGTGGAAAAAGAAAACGCTGTTGGCAGAAACCCACAGCCGCTACCCGCAAGATGTCCTGCAGAAAAGCCGAAACGCGACTGACTTTTCCCAAGCGCAGCATCCGAAAAAGTCGCAGAAATCCTCGTGGCGAACGTGGTGTGATTTCGGGGATAGGTAAGAATGGAAAACCCAACACACTACCAAATTAAATTGGTAAACTGATCATGTTTTGCAGTAAATCATGGTATATCACGCGTTGGAAACAATTAGGTGGTTGATATTGACCATACCCAGCATGATAATTTGGACGGCATGAAGTGAATTGTGAAACTTGGACATATTTCACTAACCTGAATAGTTCAGCCATTAACCATGATTCCAGTGAGGGAGGACAGTGAGGTCGTTATAATTTACCCATATTATTGGTTTTTGATCATTTAGGAGGCGCCAGAGTCATCCTTTCAAAATGTTCGAAAACATTCTTGAAGCCTAAGTCAGCTGTCAATTATTGACTCCATGACTTTGGACATATCCCAAAATGTGCAATGTCATGTTTCAGTAATCCACCCAGAAGGACAGGTATATAGGATAGCAAGTCAATGCAAGTCACTATCTTATTATTTCGACCCTCCGGAGCCACAAAATATTGGAAAAACACAGTGTTTCACGACGCCTCTACCTTTTCGCGCGCATTGATCTTCTTTCTTCTGACTCTTTCTCTTCTCTGACTGTTCCCACCTCTGCTGCTTCATCTGTCCATATTCTCGGAAGTTTGACTGTAAACTTCCTTCGATTAGTATATACAATAATTGGATGTAATTGTTTTTTTGTTGGAACTGCTCAAGTAAAGCCATCCCACCACACCGTGCTTTGGAACTTCGCTGCTCCAGCATAACCGGAGAGCCAAGGGGCGCAAGAATCGAGTGGCTGTGGCGGAATCGCCGACGTCAAAGCTTCCGAACTCGAGAAGCAAATCGATGATACCTCAAGCCACACTTTTTCAGGGGTTGGTAACTGTCCCATTTTGGGAATATTGGACATCACCTGAAAAAGTAGCCATGGCATTGACCATATACCGATTTTGGTTGGGTGATGTGAAAAATGGGGACATTTAATGACCCACACTTTTTGGACCGAAATACCAATTCTAAGTCAATTATAGCTGCCCTATTTATGGAATGACACTCCCATTTATAACCATTGATCATCCATTTTAATAGGTTTTTCCACTAAACCATCCATTTGGGGGTATCCCCATCTATAGAAACCCCTGTTTATAATCATAAAAATCAGGCCATGAAAGTCGTGAACGCTAAGTTGAGTGGAGGCTACTCCTCCCGTGTCATCAAACGTGGTAATTGAAAACCCCCTGCATGTAGAAATGATGTTCCTCTTAAAACCTTCATTTAGTTCGAGGATTTTCTAGCCCACGTTTGATACAAGAATCAATTCATAATCCTCCAACAAAAACTATAAAAAAACTGCTAATGTGGTAAACCCAATAATAAACTAATAAACAATCTCCAATATTCCCATCAATGGATGGTAACATCTATCCCTGAAATGGTGAGATGAACATGGTGCTGGAATATTTTATCAACATTTGCCCGAACAAAAAAAAACATACATGGAGCATTTAAGGGTTATTGGCTTTGCCACAATACCCTCTGGTAATTTAACATAGCTATTGAACATGGCCCATTTATAGTGAGTTTTCCCATATAAAATGGTGATTTTCCATAGCTATATAAACGTTTACCAGAGGGTAATCTTTTCATGACATAGACCATCAACACAATTTTGTGCCCTCAGGCGACTATGACATAGACCAGCTGTGATGTTGGCATGATTTAAAAAAGCCAAGGGGAGAACACGATGGGATGGGAAGCCATAAATTCTAGATACAGTACTGGAGTAATATCCCTTAAAAATACTGGAGTCATATTCTATAAATATCCCATATTAGTACCATTTTTTATCCATTTATGGGATTACTGTAATAGTTTAAAATATGTATCCGCTAGATACAGTGCCTGTAAAATCTTGTAAATGCAATTACTGCAGTTGTGTTATTATGCCTACCCATAGCTATATAGAACATGGCCATGGCCATGGATGATTTGCCTCGTAAACATGCTTTGTCCATAGTTTGTTAGTTTTCTAAAGGATAATTATTGTATTAAAAATTGTATGTTTTAGAACACATATTCATATCCCATACCCTCTGGTAAACAAACATAACTATGGAACATCACCATTTTTAGTGGGTAAATCAACTATAAATGGCCATTTTCAATAGCTATTTTAGTCATTACCAGAGGGTAAAAAAAACATCTCACATGTCTATCTGTTCGGGGGTTGCTATACCCATTCTGCATGCTTGATTCACCATGACCAAGCCATGTCTTGATTGGAAATCAACCGACTTTTTCATGGACAGTTTTTCCCAATGCCAACCCAAAAAGTCCGAGCGTTGAAGGGCGGTGATCCATACACTTCCCATCATTATTGTTCATTTTCTTGGTTAACTGCCAGATCTTTGGAAAAACAAACTCCCTGAAGGGCCATGAAAAACTCTAACTCCAACTCCAAGCCAGGGTTATGATGCACCTTTTTTTGCGGACTATCTTTTCCACATGTTTTGGGACCATTCAACCCATCATCTCCAACTTCGATGGATTGGTTAAACGGGAATATATCTACATGAAACATACATGAAACCATGGCTATTTTTCCCTTAGACCAGTCCAATTGAGGGTTTCCTACATGATCTATTCATCCATTTCATCCATAAAATCTTCCACAAGCCCTATTTATGGACAGCTTCCAGGCCCCAAAAATGACAACTCATCAAGGGACTGATAGAGATATCGATCAGAAACCAGGTCTGCAGATAGTGACAGGCGATTGTCCGGCAATCCGTGATCAGCGTGCCCTTCTCCAAATATCCTGGCGCACGCACGGGGGTGGGTGGCTAGGAGATGCTAGGAGGCTGGCCTGCTGGCCTGCTGGCCTGCTGGCCTACTCAAGGAGTTTTTTTTTGTTCATGCCTAGAAAAACGGGGGATATGACTGGTGATAGTGATGACTGGTGATGGTTGGTGTATCTGAGTTTAAAACCAAACGATGAATGGAGTTGGATGGGATAGGCCCGCAAAGTTGTGCGCAAATTATGGGCCAAAAGCCATGGAATCCATTGAAGACCAAAAAAGGTGGGATTTATGGTTGTTCATCCCTCAAAAATAAATGGCAGTTCATGTTTTCATCCCTAAATAGCCTTGATATGCCTTGATTGTTTATTGACATGGTGTACTAAAATCGACAGCTTGAGTCATTTTTCTGTGAAGTAAAGTCTGAAAACAGGAGAACGAACGATGTGTATACAGTATAAGTACAAGCGCATACATATATAGACACACACACATAATATGATGTTTGCTTCTGTTCTTGCTTACTTGCATTTGTATGTAAATGTACAATGCCGTGTCCTTTGGTGTTTGTCTTGTGTAAATTCACTGTGTTTTTGCATAGTGGATATTCAAGAGGACTCGAATTGAAGAGGAACACGCACATCGCGGACAATTTCAACTTGAACAACGTTATTTCCGCAGGGAACCGCATGCACATGCCTTGTTAATCAAAAGTCGGGGTCCATCCATATATCAACATCATGATCGCATGGCCAATGTGCAGATCCAGTCAATGTGGAACACCAAGGACTCTTGTTTCGGATAGTTCGGTAACATTCATTTTTGGGTGTCAAAACCAATCAAAACAGGGCCTTTTAAGTGTAGGTGATAAGCAAAAGGAATGTCCGTTGACAATGTTGGGATCACCTGTGAAGCACCATGATCTCAGGATTTTTGCAGGGCGCAGCCAATATTGAGAAGATATATTTACTATATAGATCTATATAGTAGTATATTAATGGATAGTACATCTACTTCAACCAGCCAACAAAATATAGTACATTAATATAGTTCAACCCAAGAATCCAGTGAAGAATGAGAAGAAAATGTCGAAACACCAATAGATCACCTTGGAGAACATCGGATCGCAAGGGGCAGGGGTTTTCATCAATGACAAACGGCTTAAGTCGATCCGATGATGGACAATAATTAAAAATGAAGCACCTCATGGACGAAAAAATTAGACACACGAAAATAATGTACTTATATAACTTCATATAAATTATATACATTATACATGTATGCCTGCTTGATCTATGTTAACTTTGGTTCCATTGCCAGACATGTTGTTTTGGAAGGACACAACCCCCTGATTAAATGATGAACATCAAAATGTGGAGGGTATCATATTCTCAGACAAATCCCTTTAGGCTATGTACTACATCAATAATATTCCATGATTCGTCGTCTATGCTCATTTCAGGATATTGACTATCTTCTCTACACTTTTCTGTTTTCCGACTTATCATTCTATCAACCTATTTCATCATCCTATTTGAACACGTGTATATAGTAGTGATTTTGTAGATATTCCACAACATATCCCCAACATACTGTGGATGGAAGAAATCCTGCATCACCTTGGATGGTTGAAACCCAAACAAAATAATGGGATGTTTACCATCTATCAACTGGTGATTCGGATTTCGCTGGCCCATCCACCGTAGATCCCATCATTGCTTGTGTTGTTCCACCGAGAAAACCTAGGATTTTTCACGATTTCCACGGGGGATAGGCTCCCAGTTGAGCCATGAGAAATATATACCATCTGGTTATTTAACATAGCCATGGCAAATCCACCCATTTTAATAGGTAAACTATAAATGGGCCATTTTCCATGGCTATGTTAGTCATAACCAGAGGGTATATAGGACCCTTGAATCCCATGAAAACTGCCGAGCAAAATTTCCGACAATCCCACACAGGGATTCAACGGGTGCATCGACTGGGGAAAATTGCACCCCTTGCACCCGTTGATCAGATTTGGGGATACCCGGCCTGGTAAACGTTTACAGTTTGCGAACTGGAAAATCCACCTATTTTTCATGGGAAAACTCACTATTTCGACTGGGCCATGTTCAAGTTCGCAAACTGTTAACGCTTACCAGAGGGTACTGAATTCATGATCTGAGCAATGTTTTTCATATTTCACCCGAAAAGTTCAGCCATTTTGAGATGATGCTATGATTCCAGGCTTCGGGAGAACGACGTGTGGTTAGAATTTACCCAGATAGTAGATCTATTCCATTATACTAACATTACTATCGTATATCATATATATCTTCCATATATATATATATACGTATACATATATATATATACGGATATATTCCATCGATTCTATATTACATATATACCATAGATTCTATAATATGCATACTATATACATATACTGGTTGGTGGTGTCAACCCCTCTGAAAAATATGAGTTCGTCAGTTGGGACGATGACATTCCCAATAGATGGAAAGTCATAAAATTCATGTTCCAAACCACCAACCAGTATACTATATTCCATATATTTGAATATTATATCTATCATTATATATATATTAATATTCCATAGATTTTATAATATATGTTATATACATATATTATATTCATAGTAGGATAGATCATTAAAAAACCCGGATTGACTGACCACCATCGTCCAGCACGCGAAGTCTTTTTGGGCCAAGTCTCCGAGAAGTACGTCACGATTTCCTGGGCGCTTCTGGCGGAGTGGAGGATCAGGGGATCAAGTGTCCGAAAAAGACGTGATGGGAAATCTCTGCAATGTGAGGCCCCCGTTCGATAGCTAAGTTGGTTTATAACTCCAATAACTATGGTTTATGGTACTTATAACTATAGTTACTGGGGCTTATAAACCAACTTATAACTGGGGGGGGCACATTGTATAGATAGATGGGAAAATAGATGGGAAACATCACTAAACAATGGGATATAGATGGATATAGACCAAAAATCTTGTGACATAGTATCTATAGGAAAATTATCCCATTATCACTCTATCATAGGGAAATGTCTATAGATTAGACAATGGGATATAATGATATAGTGATATAATTAGATGGAACACATCACTAAACATGTTCAAACATCACTAAACAATGGAACATCTGTTCAGGTAATGGAAAACATCACAAAAGATGTTCACTTAACCATATGCTCCATGTAATTATGAAATATGCACACCAACATGTGCCCGAACAACATCACCCAGTCATGTAGGTGTTTATATACCAGCACCATGGAGCATATGGGACTTATAGAATGGCAAATGTAAACATGTTCACTTAACTCAAATGGAACATCTATAGATGGAAAACTTGATGGAAAATGAAAAATCACATGGCCCATGAACATAGATCATGTAGCCATAAAAATCCATAGAAAACATATGGAAAACTGATGGGAACATCCACTCTAAATATGGGAAATCCAGGATTATCTATTAATACATCCATTCCTAGAATCTACAGTAATATCAAATACATAATTCCACTATTTAAATACTATAATTTAGTATGCAAATAACATAATACATATATATATATACATCTCAAAGTGACATATGAACTACGTACCGCGCAGACACTCGCAATCCTTTTTCCAAACCCTGCCAGTGTTGATTGAGTCAGTTTCACCTGCAATCCTCAGGTTTGCTTTGGGTCGTCACTGTGTGACACGTACATAGCCCCAGACCAGTTTCACCACTGGTCAGCTACCTGGTCGCCCCAGGTTGGAACCTGCTCTTGCAGGTATCACCCGTCCCTTAACCTAAGGGAGGGTAAACCTCTCTTGGTCACCCCAAGAGAGGGTCCCCGATAGAGGCTATATACTCGCCTGCCTTGCAGGCCCCCCTAACCTAGGCGGACATCTCCACGGGAGGTCGGCTCTTAGGGTTGGGTGGGTGGGGAAAGAAAAAGCAATGAATGCTATTTTGGCTCAACTCCACTTGAGCCAAAATGATAGCATTCATTGAATCACTTAAAGATGATACATGCACACCCAAGCCTGCCAAACTCAATGCATGGGTACATCTCAAAGTGACATATGAACTACGTACCGCGCAGACACTCGCAATCCTTTTTCCAAACCCTGCCAGTGTTGATTGAGTCAGTTTCACCTGCAATCCTCAGGTTTGCTTTGGGTCGTCACTGTGTGACACGTACATAGCCCCAGACCAGTTTCACCACTGGTCAGCTACCTGGTCGCCCCAGGTTGGAACCTGCTCTTGCAGGTATCACCCAATGCACTAAAACTCCCAAAGCATTAAAGGAATTGGAAGGTGAGGATGACTGCGACGAAAGGCAGATGGAAAAAGATGGTGGGGAGGTACGACGAATAAAAGCTAAATCCATGGCGGCGCCACCAAGGATCATTGACACCTAATCTACTGATATCATCGGCCCAGCTGCTCTTGCTCTGGACGTACTCCCAGTAACCCTGGGCACGCAGTGCGAAGAGGGCTAGATGAATCAAATGGCCAAGCTTAGCTAAATCAGGATTGCTAGAACGCCCTCTCACTAAGGTCATCACCGCGGCCACATTGTTGAGGAACCAAAGACCGTGTCCATGACGAAAAAGGTCAGGTCGCTCAATCAGGGCATAAAGTACCATGGAAAGCTCCAGTTGCGCAATGTGGGTCTCCGCAGGTTGCCATAGGGCTTGAAGCTCGGCGCAATTGGTTGCAACAAAAGCGAGACGGGTTCGCGATCCATCCGGCTGGAAAAAGATGAGGTGGAATCCACCCGAGCCTGGATTGTCCGCTTCGACAGCAGCATCTGATGCGGCCAAAAATCGAAGTCGTTGCCAAGGAAAAACTGGAAACTCTCGCTTGGGTTCAAAGCGCATCACAGCTTCGATCACCTCGAAGCACGCCTCAATCTCAGGGGTCAGCACGGTATTAGCTTCATCCTGGCGGGCTTTGCTGGCCATGAGATCCCCATACCCGACACGGCCGTAGATGCCTTGCTCCAGGAAGTTGGCAATGCCATACAATTTAGCAGCTGTTCCTCTGGTAAAATGGCCAGTCTGTCGTGCTGTCCGCACTTTGTCATGAAGTCTGGCACGGGCCAAAATTTCACATAGCCTGACTGGTTGATGCTGCTAAGGTCGTGCGTCAAGTCCAGGAAAGTGCCTGTGCTCTGCATGGCTTGCTTCTTGTCTTCGGCAAAGGGGGATCTGCTGAAATTGCACAAACTATGTCTTCAGAAATGGCAAGTGTTGGGCAGCATCGAGCAGGACCCCCCCCACTTGGACCCCAAACCTATCACACTAAAGCAATTAGGGCCACACCAAGTGGGATTACTTCCTGCTTGAAACCCAACCTGCTTAAGTTGGCAGAGGCCCACAGCCCTGTGGGCACTGCCTGGCAGTATCGATGGGCAACCTGTGATCGTCAAGTAGCATCACCTCTACTTGGAAACCCAGCTTGCTGGAGAAGGCAAAACCAACAGCCTCCAGCCCTGCTGAAATTGCAAAATCTAAGTTTCCAGAAGGAGGATCACCCCTACTTGGTAGCTGAAATTCGCTTAAAAATTCGAGCCAGATTCATGGCAAGTGTTGGGCACCCTCAGGTAGGATCACCCCCACTTGGACGCCAAACCTATGTCGCTAAAGCAATTAGGGCCACACCAAGTAGGATTACCTCCTGCTTGAAACCCAACCTGCTTAAGACAGCAGAGGCCCACAGCCCGGTGGTCACTGCCTGGCAGTATCGATGGGCAACCTGTGATCGTCAAGTAGCGTCACCTCTACTTGGAAACCCAGCTTGCTTGGGAAAAGTCAAAACAAAAATAAACCAACAGCCTCCAGTTCTGCTGAATGTGCAAAACCTCAAGTTTCCATAAGTAGGAGCACCCCTACTCGGAAGCTGAAATTCGCTGAAAAATTCGAGCCAGATTCATGGCAAGTGTTGGGCACCCCCACGTAGGATAGCCCCCACTTGGACCCCAAAACTTATGCCACTAAAGCAAGTAAGGCCACACCAAGTAAGATTACCTCCTGCTTGAAACTCGAACTGTTTAAGTTGGCAGAGGCCCACAGCCCTGTGATCTCGGCCTGGCAGTGCCGATAGGCAATCTGTGATCCTCAAGTAGCGTTACCTCTACTTGGAAACCCAGTTTGCTTGAGTCTGCTGAATTTGCAAAATGCAAGGTCACCCCTACTTGGTAGCTGAGATTCGCTTAGAAATTCGAGCCAAATTCAGGGCAAGTGTTGGGCACCCCCACGTAGGATCGCCCACACTTGGACCCCAAACCTATCACACTAAAGCGATTAGGGCCACACCAAGTAAGATTACCTCCTGCTTGAAACCCAACCTGCTTAAGTTGGCAGAGGCCCACAGCCCTCTGAGCACTGCCTGGCAGTGCCGATGGGCAACCTGTGATCCTCAAGTAGCGTTACCTCTACTTGGAAACCCAGCTTGCTGGAGAAGGCAAAACCAACAGCCTCCAGCTCTGCTGAAATCGCACAAACGGGTGCCAACAAGTAGGATCACCCCCGCTTGGACCCCAAACCTACGTCACTAAAGTAATAAGGCCACACCAAGCAGGATTACCTCCTGCTTGAAACCCAACCTGCTTGAGACAGCAGATGCCCATACCTCTGAGCTCACTGCCGACACACAGCTTGCTTGGGGAAGTCAAAACCGACAGCAGCCAGCGCCGCTGAGATTGCAAAAATCCAGGTTCCCGGAAGTAGGATCACCCCTACTTGGGAACTGACATTCGCTTAAAAGTTCAAGCTATATTCATGGCAACTGCCGGGCACTCAGGTAGGATCACCCCCCACTTGGATGCCGAACTTATGCCGCTAAAGCAATGAGGGCCACACCAAGTAGGATTACCTCCTGCTTGAAACCCAACCTGCTTAAGACAGCAGAGGCCCACAGCCCCGTGGTCACTGCCTGGCAGTATCGATGGGCAACCTGTGATCGTCAAGTAGCATCACCTCTACTTGGAAACCCAGCTTGCTTGGGAAAATTAAAAAAAAAACAACAGCCTCCAGTTCTGCTGAATGTGCAAAACCTCAAGTTTCCATAAGTAGGAGCACCCCTACTTGGAAGCTGAACTTCGCTGAAAAATTCGAGCCAGATTCATGGCAAGTGTTGGTCACCAACACATAAGATCGCCCCCACTTGGACCCCAAGCCTGTGTCACCAAAGCAAGTAAGGCCACATCAAGTAGGATTATCTCCTGCTTGAAACCCAACCGGCTTAAGACGGCAAAGGCCCACAGCCCTGTGGTCACTGCCTGGCAATGCCCATGGGCAACCTGTGATCCTCAAGTAGCGTCACCTCTACTTGGCAACCCAGCTTGCTTGGGGCAGTCAAAACCAACAGCCTCCAGCTCTGCTGACATCGCAAACATCTAAGTTTCCAGAAGTAGGATCACCCCTACTTGGAAACCGAAATACGCTTAAAAACTAACGCCACATTCATGGCAAGTGGTGGGCACCATCGAGTAGGATTACTCCCACTTGGACCCAAAACATATGCCACTAAAGCAAAAAGGCCACACCAAGCAGGATTACCTCCTGCTTGAAACGCAACCTGCTCAAGACAGCAGCGGCCCACATCTCTGTGCTCACTGCCGACGCCCAGCTTGCTTGCGGAAGTCAAAACCAACAGCAGCCAGCGCTGCTGAAATTGCAAAATCTAAGTTTCCAGAAGGAGGATCACCCCTACTTGGGAACTGAAATTCGCTTAAAAATTCAAGTTATATTCATGGCAACTGCCGGGCACCCTCAGGTAGGATCACCCCCACTTGGATGCCGAACTTATGTCGCTAAAGCAATTAGGGCCACACCAAGTAGGATTACCTCCTGCTTGAAACCCAACCTGCTTAAGACAACAGAGGCCCACAGCTCTGTGGTCACTGCCCGGCAGTGTCGATGGGCAAACTTGTGATCCTCAAGTAGCGTTACCTCTACTTGGAAACCCAGCTTGCTTGGGGCAGTCAAAACCAGCAGCCTCCAGCCCTGCTGAAATTGCAAAAATTTCAGGGTTCCAGAAGTAGCATCACCCCTACTTGGAAACTGAAATTGGCCTTTAAAAAAAAATCAAAACATATTCATGGCAAGTGTTGGGCAGCATTGAGCAGGACCACCCCCACTTGGACCGCAAACCTATCACACTAAAGCAATTAGGGCCACACCAAGTAGGATTACCTCCTGCTTGAAACCCAACCTGCTTAAGACAACAGAGGCCCACAGCCCTGTGGTCACTGCCCGGCAGTGTCGATGGGCAACTTGTGATCCTCAAGTAGCGTTACCTCTACTTGGAAACCCAGCTTGCTTGGGGCAGTCAAAACCAACAGCCTCCAGCCCTGCTGAAATTGCAAAAATTTCAGGGTTCCAGAAGTAGCATCACCCCTACTTGGAAACTGAAATTTGCTTAAAATTCAAGCCATATTCATGGCAAGTGTTGGGCACCCTCAAGTAGGACCACCCCCACTTGGATACTTTTCCGCTGAAAACGAAAACCTCCAAGTTTCCACAAGTAGGATCACCCCTACTTGAAAACAAAAATTCGCTTAAAAACTGACGCCACGTTCATGGCAAGTGTTGGGCACCAACGAGTAGGATCACCCCCACTTGGACCCAGAACATATGTCACTAAAGCAATAAGACCACACCAAGCAGGATTACCCCCTACTTGAAACCCAACCTGCTTAAGACAGCAGAGGCCCACATCTCTGTGCTCACTACCGACACCCAGCTTGCTTGGGGAAGTCAAAAACCAACAGCCCCCAGCTCTGCTGAAATTGCAAAAATCCAGTTTCCAGAAGTAGGATCACTCCTATTTGGAAACTGAAATTTGCTTAAATTTCCATCCATATTCATGGCAACTGCTGGGCACCCTCAAGTAGGACCATCCCCACTTGGACGCCGGACCTATGTTGCTAGAGCAAGTAAGGCCACACCAAGTAGGATTACCTCCTGCTTGGAACCCAACCTGCTGCCTGGCAGTGTCGATGGGCAACCTGTGGCCTGCAAGTAGCGTCACCTTTACGTGGAAACCCAGCTTCCTGGAGGGAAGTCAGACCCAACAACCTCCAGTTCTGCTGAAAATCCCAAGTTCCCAGAAGTAGGATCACCCCTACTTGGTAGCCGAAATTCGCTTAAAAATTCGAGCCAGATTCATGGCAAGTGCTGGGCACCAAAACGTAGGATCGCCCCCACTTGGACCCCAAAACTATGTCACGAAAGCAAGTGCGACCACACCAAATAGGATTACCTCCTGCTTGAAACCCAACCTGCTTAAGACAGCGGAGGCCCACAGCCCTGTGGTCACTCTCTGGCAGTGCCAGTGGGCAACCTGTGGTCCTCAAGTAGCGTTACCTCTACTTGGAAACCCAGCTTGCTTGGGGCAGTCAAAATAACCAACAGCCTCCAGCTCTGCTGGAATTGCCAAAAACCAAGTTGCCCAGAAGTAGGATCACCCCTACTTGGAACTGAAATTGTTCTTAAAATTTCAAGCCACATTCATGGCAGGTGTTCGGCACCCTCAAGTAGGACCACCCCCACTTGGACCCGAAACCTATGCCACGAAAGCAATAAGGCCACACCAGGCTACCTCCTGCTTGAAACCCAACCTGCTTGAGAACGCAGAGGCCCACAGCCCTGTGGTCACTCCCCCTGTGGTCCTCAAGTAGCGTTGCCTTGGAAACATAGCTGGCTTGGGGAAGTCAAAACCCACAGCCTCCAGCTCCGCTGAAAACGCAAAAACTCAAGTTTGCAGAAACAGGTCACCCCTACTTGGAGCTGAGATCAAAATTCAAGCAATACTCATGGCAAGTGTTGGGCGCCATCAAGTAGGATCACCCCCGCTTGGACCCCACTATATGTCCTGAAAGCAAGTACGGCCACACCAAGCAGGATCACCTCCTGCTTGAAACCCAACTTGCTTAAAACAGCAAACGCCCACATTTCTGTGCCCACTGCCGACACCCAGCTTGCTTGGGGAAGTCAAAATCAGCAGCAGCCAGCGCTGCTGAAATCGCAAATATCCAGGTTTCCAGAAGTAGGATCACCCCTACTTGGAAACTGAAATTCGCTTAAAAAGTCAATCCATATTCATGGCAAGTGTGGGGCACCCTCAAGTGTTGGGCACGCAGTGCAAACAGAGCCAAATGGATCAAATGGCCGAGCTTTGCTAACCCCGTAATTGCTAGAGCGCCCTCTCACCAAGGTCATGACTGCGGCAACGTTGTCGAGGAACCAAGGACCATGTCGATGTCGAAAAAGGTCGGGGCGCTCGATCAAGGCGCACAACACCATAGAGAGCTCCAGTTGCGTGCCTTGATGGCCATGAGACCGCCATACCCGACTCACCCAGAAATACCTTGCACCAAGAAGTTTGCCATTGCAAGTCCATAAAGTTTGGAAGCTGTGCCTCGAGTAAAGGGGCCTGCTTGACGTGCTGTGGCAAGAAATCACGAACTTTGCCATGGAGTCTGGTGCGGGCCCAAAAACGAACATGACCTGTCTTATTGATGCAACTCGGGTCATGGGTAAGTCCCAGAGAAGCGCCAGTGCTCTGCATGGTCTGCGTTTTGTCTTCCGCAAATGGGGATCCGATCATCAGGCATAGTTGGTTCATCGCCCATTGCCCGGAGCCCTTGGCAGAGCGGACGTCAGTGATCGCGGCATCAAAGTACAGGGATGTCAAAACTTGGCAATACCGGCGGGTCAGCGCTTCCAACAGTCTGGAAAATCAGTTGAACGAAGTGACTGCCAGGGGGAGCCTAAACAAGAGGCCTGCATAGACCTGGTATACCGGAGTTTGCCGCTCATCAGTGAAACCAGACGACAACGCAGCCTAAGCTCTCCTGCTGTGACATGGGGTGTAGGCAGACGGCAGGTCCTCTTGGCCTGTCTCCCAGGCATCATGGTGACAAAACTCGGCGACCTCGTCCTCAGACCAACGACGCATGACCAGGCTTATGTGCGACTACATGGTGTAAGCATGTTGGCATCGGAAGAAAGGTCTGGTTGTCCTCCGGTGTCACCATTGTCGATGACTCGTTGTTTCCCCGAACTTTGGGTGATGACACAGCGCAGGATAAGACGATGTGCCAGGCCGCCAATGTCCCTGAGGAACTCTGCTCGCCGCAGAGGGGTGTACAAAAATACATCTGGCGTCTTCCAAGGACTGCTGCAGCAAGAATGCATCGCCTCGCCACGTGCTGCTTGAACTCCAGGAACGCAGCAGCATGGAGGAGCGCCGCCTCGGTGGCCGCCGGGATATCGCTCTCACGAAGCTTAAGCTGCATGCACGGTCTCCCCTTGCAACTACCAGGTCACCCCTTACGACCCTTGTAACCAAAAAAGGTAAACCCTGGTTATTGATGTGGTGAGCCACTCAATCAAGGTCTAGGAAGGTCACCCCTTACTAGGACCAGGAAAGAAAAAGCAATGAATGCTATTTTGGCTCAACTCCACTTGAGCCAAAATGATAGCATTCATTGAATCACTTAAAGATGATACATGCACACCCAAGCCTGCCAAACTCAATGCATGGGTAGTATATATACATATTTGTTCCACCCCATTTACAATAATTACTGGGGCTTCACGGATTGGTCCAGCAATTTCTCACCGGGGAATTGGACCTCTGTTCTCAGGACCACCAGAAATCCCCATGGGTTTTAGAATGATTCCCATCTTCGCTGTTGAAATGAAAAATTTGTGATCAATAAAAAAAGATTCTCCGAATCAATGAGGCATGTTCCTATTTATTGATGTTCCCTATGACACAATGCTATGTAAACTTCAATGTCTAAATTCCCTGTGGATATGCTAACCCTTTTCAAACATTGAAAACATGCAAATCTCGGACAATGACTTGGCGTTGTCTGAAGCCGGGTCAGCCCTTTTCAGCCTTGAATCTCACAAAGGGTTTATGGATCAGTTTTTTCTCGGTAAACCTTCGTTGGATTTGGGGGTCTGAGACTGTTTGCTGTGTACATTCCATCCGCTCCAGGCTCAAGTTATGCTGGCGTATTGCTGGCAAGTTTCCCAGCGAGGGAAAATGGTCGCCACGTCCACATCTACCAGCTGCATAGGAATGCCAAAGGTATCCTGTGCGGTGAATTTTTGCTGGAACATGGGAGAGATCTACAAAGTAACACCAGGACCTGTGAGTTGATGATGCTAAGCTCTAACCACCATATATTTCTGTGCGGAAATCTGCAGAAAACCCATGTTAACATCAGTATCCTTGAGATTTTCCCCAAAGCCAATGAAGTCCATATGAGTCAACCGGCAATCATCGCAGTATAGGGATAGAAAACAAGCCACGTCTTCATGTTGGCGCCCTATCACAGAGTGAGGTTTTTCATGGCTGCCAGATGTTAAGAGGAAGATGGACGGGGAGTGTAGCAAGAAAATGAAAACCATCTAAAACCTGCCGGTGAGGGAAGCGGAATGACCATTTCTCTCCCGATGTGGGTGCATTATGCCGTGTATTCCTTTGATTCGTGTTCTCAATTTTGTTTGTTTTTTCCTAAGCATCAAAAATATGAAGTCTTAACCATCCAGTGTTTCTCAAACTACACAGAATCTCATCTCTTGTGAAAGAAACTTCCCATTTCAGCAGTGAAAGTATCTGTGGTCCCGCATCAAGTAACTATTTTATGATCCCTGGCCAAAAACAACATCCATATCAATCCATTCCTAGCTCCAGGCAAAAAAACAAACCATAACAAATCTACATTTACATCTGTCTTATTTTTCATATTTTTCCTATTCGAGAAAAAAAACAAAAAAATCGAATGTTGAAGCGTATTGTTTCACCAACGATTTCCCAGAACTCCAGAGATTTCCCAGAAAAAAATCCCATGTCCAATCCGAGTTCCCAGAGGTTTCCAAAGATTCCAGCCTTGACCAAAATCAGAATTCCAATGGCATCCCAAAAGGACCGGAAATTGCCAGTTGGGCTGAGCACAATGCCTCGATGGCGTCAGTTGGCCAGCAGAAGTCATGGGAAAATCCGATCTGCAGATGGAGCTGATGTGAAAAGTGATGTGATTTTTGGGGAAGTTTTCATGGGAAATTCCATGAAGATGTCCAAAAAAATGGAGCTTTTTTCATGCTGTGAAAATAGGCAAATCATCCAACTCCATGGGGGAAAAACCCTGGAAAAATGGGGGATCTCCAGCCATGTTTGATGAGAAAATGGGGGTAGCAATCCGAGAATTTGGGTCAAAAAGTCCATGGGTGTCTGGTCATGTTTTCAGGGAAAAATCTCTCATTTTTGGGGATTACCCTCTGGTTATTTAACAGTTAGCCATGGAAAATCACCATTTTCAATAGGTAAACCATCTATAAATGGGCCATCTATACCATGGCTATGTTCAATAACCAGATGGTACTAGATTCTGAATTCTACTTTGCCGCCCCAACTATTTTATTATCGCTGCATACGTTTGAGAGCTTCGGCCACTGCCAAGTGCTGGTGCAAATCATTGAGAAGCAACTTCCAAAGAAATTTAGCAAAGCACGGGTGTGCTAACCATTTTCAAATCTTCTCTTCTTCGCCCAAGCTGCGGTTGACTTCGAGCCTCCGATACCAAGGCTTGTTCTTTTCCTGCCATGGTACTTATCCGGAAATTTAGATCTCAGCAAACGGTCAAAAATCATACGGACGCTTTCCAAAGTCATAGGGGGTACCCCAAATCATTCAAGTCACATGACGACTCGTCTTGAGACACCATGATTTTGATTGATGCTGGGGATCCCCCATTTCAGGAAATCAATGGAAATCACCATATCTAGACTTGGGGGTCTTCAAGCACCTTCCATATCCAAAAAACATATCACTGGGTGAATGGTGCGGCTTTAATTCTCACTTCGGCTGTTCCGGGGTCTCAATCGTCTCAATCTCATCGGTCGATGGGCAATCATGCGCACTTAAATTCCCAATTTTGCCGATTTATCATCCAGTATGATTGTTCTTCAAACATCCGGTTTTCACATATGCAAAACCCAAGGTTTTTACACGTAGAATGCAGCCCATCACCCCAGATTTCTGGAGTGTTCATGGCCATATCACACTGAGATCTCCCCACAGCGCCTGAAGAATTGGTCCAGTAGGCAGAGACTGCGACCTCAGATTCAGTGGCCTGTTCTCTGCAACCAAAATTGATTTTTTATTGCTCTGGACGGGAAATCCGCAAAAAAAAATCAATTGGATACCACCTGGTTATGACTAACAGTTCGCCATGGAAAATCCACCCATGCTTTTAAGAACGGTGTTTACCATCTATTTCTATGGCCCATCGAAATCCCATGGCTATGTTAGTCATAGCCAGAGGGTAATTGGTCTAGCTAACCGGATGAATGGGGCTGGTCATCCTACCCTTGGCTAACCCGAGCGAGCCCGGAGCTTGCGAGCGGATTTCTGGAGCCTCCCCGAAGTGAGTTGAGCGGAGCATTCGTCTCGATTTTCCAGGACAGTCCATCTGAATCGAAGATGAAAAATCACGATGAAACAAAAAATCACTCAAAATTCATCCCATTTCTGCCATTACCCATAGGACCCATATGCTCCATGTAACTATGGAATATTTACCCATATTTGCCCTTGCCCAAAATCACCCAGTCATGGATTTCTGGTCTCTGAAAACTGGTTGGTCAAAATGTAGGTTTTTCATCGTTTTTATATACCAGCACCATGGGTTGCATATGGGTGATAGTCCCATGAAACATTCCACTGCGCTGTCGAACCCCAGATTCCCAGAGATCTTGAAAAGGGATCAGCTGGAGAGCATTTTCTGCCCGTCCCCCATGGCTATCTGGTAGTGGACTATCAACCATGTATATAAACATGAATTGGTATATAATCCATGTATACTAAAAAAACATGAATATATTCAACATGTATAACTATCAAAAACCATATTCATGATAATTTGCATATGGTGATATGAATGGAGTTTCAATATGTTGGTTTACCTATCAACAGCACGGTGGTTTCCCAGTTCGCAAACGGTTAGATTACCAGAGGGTAGCACACAAAATCTCAACCCCCCTACACAATTTCAGTGACGACTTTATATTGTATTTCACAGTGCCCTCTGGTAATTTAACATAGCTATTGAAAATGACCATTGATAGTGGATTTACCAAAAAAAATGGTGGATTTTCCATAGTAATGTAAAGGTTTACCAGAGGGTACTAGTTTTGAGGAATGTTTAAGACCAGGTCCATCCATCCAAAACGTGTCAAAATTGGTCTTCACAGAAAATTCACGGCAAATTCCCGGCACCAGTGTTTGTGAGGTAAAACCAGGGTTCCCTCTAGATGTTCCCTTGAACCAACCAGTGGATATATGCATATTGATTGCTACCCCCATGTCTGCTGATATATAAACATATCCAAACATGCAAATTCTCATTTCTTAAGAATTCTTCATCCTTCCAATGGCAAATTCCCCATGAAATGGTGAAATCATAGGGGAAATCACCCGCTGCCGCCGAGAAAATCCTCCGGCAGAGGCGCAAATCTCCCGTGAGCGACACGCGACTCTTCCGTCGCGTCGTTAAGGATTTGCTCTTCTGGAGCCATTCCCTGACAGCATCGAGAGGGAAAATCATTGGATTGAGGGAAAATCTATATACCAATCATTGGTGCCATTTGAACATCATCATATCATTGGATTGGTTTAAGGGAAAATCTATATACACGAAACCATGGTTTTTACCATTAAATATGGGGTTTCCTGTAATTTTTACCTTAAACCAATCCAATGAAACAAAGACCAGGCTTCCTGAAGTAGATCAAGTTGCTACAACTAATTTAGGATCATGGATAACATATGACTCATGAAACATTTCATATAAAATATGCGCAACTGAACTGTGAACGAGAAAAATTGCAACAGCTCTAGCTGACCATTAAATCATCAAATCATGGGGAACGGTGATGGAAAAATGATGATGGATGAATTGAGGTTGAAAAAAAATCCGGTACCCTACCTCCAAACAAACCAAAGTCCGGGAAACAAATACTTTCTGGTTGGTTTTAGTTTTAGTGTCGGCTGTGTTTGAAAACCCGGGAGCCTTGGTGATTTGTTTTAAACAAATGAATCGACTGGATATGTCCGAGAAAAATGATGCATCGTCATTTCCCATTCTTGCAACCAGGTGCAAGAAAAACACTATTTGAAGAGACACACCCAGTAGTTTTTTGCATACGGAAAATGAGGCAGTCATTTTGTCAGGTCATTTTCTGAAATATCATTCCAAATTGGGAACTTCGCCTAGTTTGGGTGGGATGTTTCCCCCAGTCCCAGTCCCATGAATTGTCGGCGGCTCTGCGGCGCGACGATTTTGAATGTGTTACCGCACGTATTTCATGCACCTATTAGCGTGCTCTTTGACCATTTTGTTGCTTCAAAATCTCGTGATTCTACTTGAACGAAGCATGATGTGGCTATTGTTATCTTCGCTTTGATGGATAGAGTCATCACTTTTGGTGGCTATTGGACAAAACCTTCATAGATCGTGAAATATCTCCACTTTTTGTCCAGGTTCATCCCAGCCAACCAGTGCAGTTATTTGCTTGGGGTAACATGTTACAAGCCACTTACTAGTGCTGACATGTGCTAACTGTAGATTCCCAAAATTTCCCAAAGAAATGCACAACGTAATTCATCACTGGCATGTTTTGGATGCTTTTACTTTTCTATATTTTTTGGGTGGTTTTCTACTTTTTTATTTTTTTTGGGTGGTTTTCTATACCTCCTTTTTTTGAAATCGTTATCACTGGCTGCTGGAACCACGCCAACAACAAGCACAGCATTAAAATAGTCAAGCATCATCCGCGGCACAAAGATGTGTTCTTCCTCGGGACCAAGTTCTTTTCTTCCGGTAAGAAAATAGTTAGTTACTAATGGTTATAGTTAATGAATATTAATGAATGGTTATAGTATGTTATAGTTACTAATGGTTGTAGTGGTTAATACTGGTTATAGTGGTTTATAGTGGTCAATACTGGTTATAGTGGTTAATACTGGTTATAGTGGTTGATACTGGTTGTAGTGGTTAATACTGTTTAATGATTGTTAATGATATCTATTATTATTAATCTATCAGATCTATCAGTCTATCATGTGGTTTGGGAACTCTTACATATTAGCTCCTTGGCTCCCCGTTCGATCGGAAATATTCCCATTCATTGCTCCTTACCTCCCCCTAACCACTGGATAGCACTGGTTAATACTGGTCCATAGCGGTTGAGAACCGTGAATAGTGTATGGACCGTGGTTGAGAATGGTCAATAGCTTTGAACATAGACACTACTGGCTAACGGTTAATAATTTATACATATATAAACATATATAAACATATATAAACATATATAAACATATATAAACATATATAAACATATATAAACATATATAAACGTGATTCTTTCGATGGTTAATCTTGGTTAATGATGGTTCATGCTGACTAAACTTCCAGAAAATATGTCTGGGGACCATCCATTTCCAGCAAACATGGCATAGACATCAATAATGTTACCTTTTTTTTGCTTTGGGATCACCACTTTTTTGTGGATTCAATGTAGATATCAATGTAGTATATGAGTATATATACTATATAGTTTTTAATAGAGATATATTATATACATTTATATACTATATATTCAATGTAGATATTAATATGTAGATTAATATCTCTATAGAGTTTTTTGGAATCCCAGGAATTTCAGGGGCAGTCCAGTCCCGTCTTATCTTTTTTTTGCTCAACGACCATCCAACTGTCTCCAGCACCTCGTCTTCCCCATGGTGATGATTTCTCCGAGTTCTCACATGAAAATGATCATCTTATGGTGAAATTAATGCTTCAACTATGGTTGAATTCTCCATTTTATGGCCCCCAAATTATAGGACCGGGTAACCCCACATGTTACCAACTTTTCTAGACGTAGACTGAGCACAGAAAAGCAAGAAGGGAAGAGGAAGTATAAGCGTGATGGAGGAGTGATGGTGGGATGAGTTTGTGTGTGTGATTGTGTGTGTATGTATGTGCATGCGCAGGTGACTGAATGAGAATGTGAGTGAGTGATGTGAGTGTGGTGTGTGTGTGAGTGAGTGAGTGAGTGAGTGAGTGAGTGAGTGAGTGAGTGAGTGAGTGAGTGAGTGAGTGTGAGTGGGTGAGTGTGAATGAGTGTGAGTGGGTGTGAGTGAGTGAGTGAGTGAGTGAGTGAGTGAGTGAGTGAGTGAGTGAGTGAGTGGAGTGAGTGAGTGAGTGAGTGAAGTGAGTGAGTGAGTGGGTGGGTGGGTGGGTGAGTGGGTGAGTGAGTGAGTGAGTGGGTGGGTGGCAAAAGAGGCGGAGCCCAACAGAAGCCATACATCCGACCCCTTGGCAATGCACATTGTCCCACGCCTGCCACGCAAAAGAGGCGGAGCCCAAGGGACGCCAGGGCGTACATCCGACCCCTTGGCAGTGCACATTGTCCCACGCCTGCCACGCAAAAGAGGCGGAGCCCAAGGGACGCCAGGGCGTACATCCGACCCCTTGGTAGTGCACATTGTTCCACGCCTCCCACGCAAAAGAGGCGGAGCCCAAGGACGCCAGGGCGTACATCCGACCCCTTGGCAGTGCACATTGTCCCACGCCTGCCACGCAAAAGAGGTGGAGCCCAAGGTACGCCAGGGCCGGGCGTACATCCGACCCCTTGGCAGCGCACATTGTTCCACGCCTGCCACGCAAAAGAGGCGGAGCCCAAGGGACGCCAGGGCCGGGCGTACATCCGACCCCTTGGCAGCGCACATTGTTCCACGCCTGCCACGCAAAAGAGGCGGAGCCCAAGGACGCCAGGGCGTACATCCGACCCCTTGGCAGTGCACATTGTCCCACGCCTGCCACGCAAAAGAGGCGGAGCCCAAGGGACGCCAGGGCGTACATCCGACCCCTTGGCAGTGCACACATTGCCACGCAAAAGAGGCGGAGCCCAAGGGACGCCAGGGCGTACATCCGACCCCTTGGCAGTGCACATTGTCCCGCCTGCCACGCAAAAGAGGCGGAGCCCAAGGGACGCCAGGGCGTACATCCGACCCCTTGGCAGTGCACATTGTCCCACGCCTGCCACGCAAAAGAGGCGGAGCCCAAGGGACGCCAGGGCGTACATCCGACCCCTTGGCAGTGCACATTGTCCCACGCCTGCCACGCAAAAGAGGCGGAGCTTAAGGGACGGCAGGGCGTACATCCGACCCCTTGGCAGTGCACATTGTCCCACGCCTGCCACGCAAAGCCTGAGTGAGTGAGTGACTGAGTGAGTGAGTGAGTGAGGGAGGGAGGGAGGGAGTGAGGGAGTGAGTGAGTGAGTGAGTGAGTGAGTGAGAGAGGAGGACGGGAGGCGGAGGAGGAAGGCGGATACAGAACTAAAAACAAAAAACCCACACGTCAATGTGGGGAACATATCAAAACATATCAAAACATCAACATCTTCGTTCCAGATGAGAAAGAAAAACATCCACCAAACTCGCATCGCCAAGCAACGGAAAATTCGCTGGATTTCGACAAACGAGAACTCCTGCAGTGGCTCGGGTTGTGGCTCTTTGGGTGTGGCCCCACCCCCCGTCAAAAAGGTTCCCCCCCTTAGAATAGAGGGCTCCTAACTGGATTTCCGATGTGGTGCAAAACTACTGGTCCCACATCGGGTACGGCTTGGTACTCAGTGCTGCTGACTGCCAAATTCGCAGTTCTGCTGGCACCTGATGTTTGAGCCATAGCCATATAGTTTCACATCCCCCTCTTATTGGTCTTGATAGGGTAGGGTACCGTCAGTTCTGAGTCTGGCTGGCATAAAAAATAATTCATCAACCTCTGCGTCGTGATGTCGTCATGTTTTGCCCTTCTGTCGTTGGTACATCGCAATTCATATCCCCTCTTCCCTGTTGGTTCGATCCCCAAGGTTTTTCAGACTTGATTCATAAATCCCAACTACAAGTCTCCGCGAAAAAACACGCCATCACATTCATGTCATTTCATGTCACATCCCTAAAAACCCAATAAAACAAACACACATCAATTTCATGCGGAATCACCAACCAGTTTCACGTCACGTCCTCACTTCCACGTGCGGAGCCGCTCGTGACTGCGGCAGGTCCACTTCTGGTGGGTCCTGTGAAATCTGGGCAAATTCCTAGCCCTTGGCTAATCACTTGGTATGGATCAACATAGATACAATTTGTATCAATTTGTTAGGGGATGAACATGATGAACATCCATCAATCCCAGTTATTTTCCATGAAGTTTTCACAGATGGAAGTGGATACAAACGATACAAGCCAACTGATCCACGCTTGCGTGTTGCAACCTGGGGCACGGTTATTTGGGATGGAAATTCCTTCATACCTCTTTCACAAGGAGGGTTACCAGGCAGACTGCAGACAGTTCATCGCGCTGAAATCACCCTGAGCCTAAAGCCCATTCGAATCTGGACGGACAAGAAAAACGTCTACGATATCCTGGTTGCTCTGTGGGCAACAACAGAAGTAGATATCTCCAGAAAAGCTGATAGAGATCTCTGGGACAGGTTGCTCCACCAATGGAGGCTGTCCAAACATGCGGTTGCAGGAGGTTTTAAAAGAACAAGCGCATGCAGATCCAAACACCCAAAAATGCCCCATCGAAACATGGGCGGTTTTGGGAAATGAAGCAGCAGACAGGTGCGCAGCCAGGTGGTGCGGCACTCTTTGCCTCCGACTTTTTGGACAGTTTGGGAAACAAATCAAACAATGGGGTGTAGCCCTGCACGCCATGTACACAGACATAGCACACCATGCACTTCAACCTACAGTTGACCCAGACCTTCTCCAACCTACAGGTGTCCAGGTTCTTGACATCGCAGAAGTGGATATCGAATTTTGCAACCTTGCGACACTGCGAGCCGATCAATTGCCCAAGCGTTTTCAGAGGCGTCGCAGAAAATTTTGGGCTATCAGATGTCACCAGCCAGACAACAGAACCCATTCGGGTTTCGTTCCACCCGCTACTCATCGACTTCCAAAGTAATTCAGGCCATCATGGCCCGTCTTGAACTAGACCACTACGACCATCCACAGAGAGTGAAGTGGTTTGCCCAATACCTCACCAACCTTTGGAACACATGTTCATTCACACGCGAAATCCAGCAACGTAGACCACCAAGCAGTGTTTTAGCCTTTTGGTGAGGACATGTACAGTTGTGCCTTGATTCGAAAGGGCTGCACAAAATAGGTCTGAACACTTGCGAAAGCATGCCCGGTCTGACTCCGAACCGCCAAGCAGGAGCTTCTGTGGAAAGGGAGAAAGGGAGGATTTTGACCCATAATGGGTTTATGCGGAGGATTAGGACCTAAGCTTTGCTTGTCCAGCTTTAAATGGAGCAGAAATGACATAAAATTACTGGATTCTTGAGACAAAACTTGCTGGATGCTTGAGAGCATTCCAGACATGGGGTCACTCATTGACTTAGAACTGGTATTTTGGACGGGAATTTTGGGGAACTAGTGTGAATTATTTTTGGAACTGCTGGGAATTACCATAAAATCCATTGAATTACAATAATTTGGAGATTACAACACAACCCAAATCATGTGACTAAATTGCGATCATGGGCCTCACTGACCAAGTAACGCCCTACTATAAGCATCATTCCAGTGAGGTCACGACGTGAGGTCGTTGCATTTTTTCTGGGGAACAGATCATACACATTGGATAACACTTTTTTAAAGGGAAACATGACAGGAACCACAAGGGTCTTTGGTGGAAAGAAACAAAGTGTTCGACTCTTTCCTATATTTTGCTATAGATGATGTTCCATACCAAATTGAAACGTTATGTTCCTATAGATGATGTTCCCATATTTTCCCATATGTTCTTTTCCTATAGTCTTGGTTCCCGTAAACCAATCTCATTGAAGCATATTGGTTCGCATGGAACTTGGGCTGTGATTTACCAAAAAATCCCACCGTTTCACGGTGGCAGGGCTCATGATTGTTGAAGCCCCATTCACTGGTAAATATACATATCATGTATATCATATATATATATATCATATATATATAATATAACCATATTATGTCCATATTATGTCCATATTATTATACGTTTATACATCATATCTATTATATAAACATATATGATATAATTATTCATAAATTCATATATCATATATTTTTCTATATCCATATTCCATTCCATGTGTCACCCCTCAGGGCTGCCCATGGCTCCTCCAAACTGTTGCTTTTCGACTTGGCGATGTCCGTGCCGCTGGCTGCCAGCGGCGTGTTTCTCGAGGCGGCCAGTGCTGAAGCATGGCTGGCCCTCGGCCGAATGACGATTTTCGTCCGGCACCCAATAAAAAGGGTACCCTAGGCCATCCTAGGTCCTAGGTCCCAGCTGGGTTAATGGATGTTTACGGATGTTTATTCCCCACAATATGGTAACATGGTCATTTAGCTGGGTCAATGGATGCAAAACTCATCTTGTTCATGTTTATTCCCAGATAATCTGGTAATAATACGGAGGTTTTGACCCATCCGCAGGCAAACCCAATCATCAACCATGCCATGAACCATCCCCTGAACCATTGTTGGAATATGCTGGAATGGTTCATCGATATTCCTCGACGAATCCCTGGGCCCCCTAATATTTCTGGATATGAAAAAACCCATATTATCCGGGTAAATTATAATATTTCACTAACCTGAATTAAGGCCATTTGGGGTTGATTCCCCTTACTACGATTTCCAGTGAGGTCGCAGTGAGGTCGTTATAATTTACCCAGATATTATAGTGTCCCAAATATGTGGGTTTATCATGGTTTATCCCCCACTCAACCATGGTGGCCATGGTGACTCTATGGGGTGTTTGATTCAAAGAATGGTGGATGGGATTCATATCGATAGCGATCTCGCAGCAAGAAGTTGGATTCAACATACGTATAGTTCAACCTTAGTGATTTACCATCTGGTTATTTAACATCGCCATGGTATAGATGGCCCATTTATAGATGGTTTACCAATTAAAAATGGTGATTTTCCATAGTCATGTTAGTTTACCAGAGGGTAAGTGATTTATACTGATTCATGATAAGTCGGTTGCATCAAGCAGAATACCCTCTGGTAATTTAACATAGCTATTGAAAATGGCCATTTATAGTTGATTTTCCCATTAAAAATGATGATTTTCCATAGCTATGTTAAATTACCAGAGGGTAACATATATTTACATATGGTTTTATGATTTTATGGTGATGACAGTGATTCATGGCTGGCCAATGTTTACCAAAATACCTGTTGGGAGTACCACCTTTAGCTCCAGCTAAGACATAACCCTAGCCTTGAAATCTTGAAATGTGGGGTTTTTCAACGCGTCTGTTACAAAAACTGGAGAAACAATGAGAACCAGTTGAAGTACCCTCTGCTATGGCTGGAAACTCACCCAGCCATAGTTCGATGATCTGACCTAGGAACCCGGGATTTCCGAGCAAACCATATTTGATTGCCGTAGGGAAATCGCATGTTTCACAAAACTTGGGAATCCAAAAGCTTTCCAAAAGCTTGGTGGATAATGGGTTAAAGTTAATGGGGTTCCTTCCTTTTTCGGAATAAGAATAAATAAGATATCATAGAACAGATGAGGTAAACGACGTTTTTCATTACGGCAGTTCCTCAGTTCCTCTTTCAACACCCTGACGCGAGTTCCCTTGAAGCGATCAGTCATGAATCGTAGAAACTGACCGGGCCCGCTTCTTGGTGAATACATTTTGCCCATATGCTCCATATGATCCATGTATGGAATATATTTGCCAACATAAATCCAAAAAAATGAGCCCCCAATGTTGGCACATATTCCGTACATGAAACATATAACTTCAGATATCATGGAATTTCATGCGAAGGTTTCTAAAGTTGTGGTGAGTAACCCAGATCATCCAAGCAGTATTGAAAACTATGGTGACTTGGGGATCCCTTATTTTCAAAACCCCCCATACGTTTCCACTTTCGATATTATGGCATAGTGCCCCCTGTTTCTCACTGGAACTGGAGGACAAACTCATCTTTACGGCTAAATCAAGAACTTAGGGAAAAGGTACCCAAGCAAAATAGGAAACACGGACCAAAACTGGCTAAGTCCCACGTGTTTCCGATGTCTCATGGGTAAAACCCGTGGGTTTTTAACTTGACCATTTAACTATTTGGACCAATTTCCCGACGTGTCCCGACGCACTTTGGGCGTCCAAGTGACGCCAATCGCTCTGAGACCATCAATCCACTCCTCTCCGAATAGCGAAAACTCTCATTGGCCTCATCCACTGTTCGCCGTGAGCCTGAAACTGCAGATAAAACCAACTGCAGTCTTTGGCCACGAATGGGGTTAATCATACTACAAATGGGGTATTTTCTGGATTTATTTCATGTTATTTGTCAGTGATCTTTTTGCAGACTGAAATGGGGTTGGTCATCCAATAAATGGGGTGATTTTCTGACTAAATGGTAAAGGGCACTGTAGACCTAATTGAAAACCGAGATGGGGCCAGCAAACGACAGCTAAGTTGTTTTGAAACTCAAATAATTATGGTTTCTGGTAGATGTATCGGACTAGTTAATAAGGTTTATAAACCAACTTATAACTACGGGGCCATCTTGAACCTACTACAAGGTGGTGTTCCCTATCTAATATGGTGGATGTAACCAACCAAAATGACGATTTAACGCAGAAAATTAGAACATGATGGGGATATAGCCAACACTGTCCAATAATTGGATGATGCCCCAAAACGTTGGCAAAATTGGTTTAGTTCAGTAGTTTGACTATTGATCGCAGTAGGGAGTAGGTACTGCGGCACATGGGGAACCAAAACTTTGGGCTATATGGAATAGCTCATCTCCACGGAATATGCCCATGAATATTCGAATATTCCCATGAGATCCCCAGTTAATAGGTACAACATGCTGCACCCGTCGTATTGCAAACCCCAAAGCCTTAGCAGCTTTAGCAGGTCTATGGACGCCATGGATACAATTTTGTGTTCTTATTGCGCAAAACGAAAGGATCAAATAACTGCTCCAAACACCCCAGGTACAAGGGGTAGTAAATTGGGTAAATGTAGAGGTACAATGAGTAATATACCCCGAAAAACGATTGTCATTTATCTATAATTGGTTGGAACAACCCTGAACAACATGGTATTTTTATATATTTTTTGGGTCTGAACTGTGATTCCTAACACGATATGGAGTCAACTAACACAAATTCGACAACCTGCAGGGGATAATCAATGAACAATGGTGGATAATAGATTGAAATGCTCGGTCATTTTGGGATGATATACATAAAACATAGACTCTATGGTGACGCTGCGGTGGCATCGAAAAGCAAATCAACGAGAACCTATCTAATGTGGTAAACCCCCGGCCAAAAAAAAACCATTCACCATTCATGATTGTGGGTTATAGTAAACATCATCCATTTTGTCATAGAGGCGATACTTATCCTAAGTTCATAAACCTAAAAAACTTAGGGGTATTGTGACTATAATTTATCACTGGGTAAATCCCACATTATGACATTCATAATCTATAAAAGAATAATATACATATTTATTATATTTTATTATGAAAGATTAATTATTGTTGTGCTGTACTGTTATAATCTATAATGATCTAATTACAATGATTAACCCCAATAAACAAAACCCACTAAATAATTATGGTTTCATTATTGGTTTTGTCACATTCAAACAACCCGAGTGTGCCTGCATGGCTCAATACTTGACCTTGCGCCGAAGTGATCGACGAGGAGGTCTTCAGAACCTTGCCTGCGGAAACAGCTGGGGCCTCGAAAAATAGAGACTCCATGAGATATGTTAATATATGTTATACCATGTTATACCTATTTTTAAAACATATGCATCATCAAGTCTTTTTTGTGTCACCATTTAAAGTCGTTCCCCACCTGTCAGGTGAGGGTTGTTGGATTTTATGTTAGCTGGCCCGCCTCCTCCTCCTCCTCCTTCCTCCGCCGGACCTCGACCGCAAGCTCCGGATCAGAGTGTTCCCCGCCGGACCTCAACCACAAAGAATCTCCGAAGATATACCAGATAGAATGCCAGAAAGGAATGTCAGAATAGATGCCAGATAGAATGCCAGAAAAGAATGTCAAACAGAATGCCAGAACATATGGCAGAAAAAATGCCAGATAGAATGCCAGAGTAAATGTCAGTATAGATGCCACAAAGGATGCCAGATAGGATGTCAGAATAGATGCCAAGTAGAATGCCAGAATGGAATGTCAGATAGAATGCCAGATAAAATGCCAGAATAGAATGTCAAAAGAATATACCATATATATGTCCAGATGATATGTCAGAAACTATGACAAATAAGTGTCAGGGTGGGGATCACTCGAAGTACAGTAATCGTTTTTTCCCAAAAAAAGTTGTTGTGCACAATAGGGTGCCATCCGAACAATTATATTATTGAGGATCTGGGTCACTCATGCGTTACCCCCTTGAAATTTTGTTTTAGATTTTTTGCCGCGTTTCTATTTTGTCCCCAAGAAGCAGAAAACTAGACTATGGTGAATCGTCAATGTGGAAACTATTGACGATGAGCGGAGATCCCACCAACTCCCTGAATTTCTATATATGCTTAAGCCCACGGTAATCAGTGGTTGCTGGTGGTTTACAAGCCTTTCCGGTTGGAATAACCCTCAACAAACTCGGAGAAAAAGAAATTACCTTGGGCGGGTTTGAATCCCCATGAAAGCATGTCCATTGAGTCGTTCGTGAAAAAATGGGGCAGGGAGGATTCCTGATTCTTTCGTCGACCAAGCGGCGCCCCAGTTTCGTGGATTCCAGCACCCCCTCTGACACATTGACACAAGAAAATCCCACGAAACTCGAAGGGACTAGATCCACATATGGTCCACGCATGGATCCCCGACTGGTCATTTGAGATTGGCTGGCTCAAAGCAAAGCAAGATGCAGCCCACGAACCCGAATGCTCACACGTATGATAACGAGCCCGAGGCCGAAACAAATGATCAGAAAAAACCTCGTAGTTGTGAAAGAGAGTGGAATGTGAAGTGCCAGCTGCAAAGTAGTTTTTGTGGAGTATAAAGTGTGAAGTGTAGAGTATGGAGTGTGAATTGTCGAGTGTGGGGGGGCGTGACGTGCAAAGCGTGAAGTGTAAATAATATGTGAAGTCTAAAATGTGAAGTGCGCATTGTAAAGTGTAAAGTGCGGAGTGTAAAGTAGAGAATGTAGAATGTGGATTGTAAAAAGAGCAGAGTGCGGACTGCGGCAGCCCTATTTCTAGCTTCGGCCAAATTTGATGCCGTATGCCGCAGCTCTGCAGCGTCTTCCGACCTTCAAGTTTTGACAGGTGAGATATGCTCTCAAGATGCAATACGACAGTGGGGACATCGTCGCCTACTGCTGGAAATCAAACATCGAGAACACCATTTCTTGCAACAACATATTATGGAACCGCTTGAAGCGTTACTTCTTTTACAAGTCCACAAGCCAACGTCTAAGAGAGTCCCTGCATTCTTTTTAACACCGTGAATTTCTCGGACCTCCAACGTAGTAGCGCGAAGCATTGCAATGCCAGAAGCGCGGATCTTCACACACGTGTGAAGTCTCAACTTTCAAGTGTGAAGTGTAGAGTGTAAAGTGTGAGTGTAATGCGCATAGTGCGGAGTGTAAAGTGTACAGTGTAAAAGTGGAGAGTGAAAAGTGGACAGTGCGGAGTGCAAAGTGTAAAGCGTGAAGTGTAAAGTGCAAGGTGCAGAGTGCAGAGTGTAAAGTGTAGAGTCTTGGGGTGTCAAGTGTGGAGTGGAAAGTGTCGTAGAGTGCGAAGTGCCAAGTGCAAAGTGTGAAGTGTCTGCACCACAAGCTGCCCCAGCCAGGCAACAAGACAATCTGTCCATGCCCCACGCCTGCCACGGAAGTTGCACGTTCTCACGACTTGACGCAGCCCTGCCAATGCGATTCGCCAAAACACACAACACAACACGTCTAAAGTGCTGGTCCTGCCACGCAAAATGAACATGGACACGTCCAAAGCGCTGCCTGCTGCCTCTGGCACGAAACCTGATAGTCATCTTCTGACAACCATGCAAAAGTATTGCACCTACACAAAACGACGTTTTACACTTGTGCAGACACGTCGGAATGTCACGAGGTGCCACGCCTGTCACCCAAAACAACATGACGGCCTCTTTTGACACCTTCACAAATGACCGGTTGCGCAGCTTCCCCCATAGGCACGGCAACACCTCCAAAACCAGAGAATCGAGACGAGACATGTTGGACTACGAGACTTCCCAAATTTCATCACAATTTGTTACTCCAAAATTTACGTTTTCCTACGGGGTTTCCTTGTCGGAGCCACCTCAAAACTGATGTTTCGTGGAAGGCTTCCGCCAATTTTCATCACATGTCCCAAAATGCCACAACACAGCCACGTAAAATGAAGATGGACACATCCAAAGTGCTGCGCCTGCCACGAAAAGTGCAAGTCATCGTCTGAAAACGACGCAAAAGGCGCCTGTACTTTTGACACGTGATATCGTGATGAAACATGTTGGAATCACGAAGTGCCACGCCTGCTCCACGAAACGAGGTTACGTGACGTTTGAAACCTCCAAAAGTGACCACTTTTGCAGCACTCGCCAACGGAACGGGGATAGCGACTTCACGCGGACGGTTGCGAACGGCAGCCGACGGTTGCGAACGGCAGCGGACGCCTCAACCCCCAAACCCCCAGAGTGAAACGGGAACCCTTGCTACGCAGTCGGGAAAAATGCATCAATTAGGATGAAAATCATTGAAGCCACCTGCCAAAAATTGTGGCAAGCGCACCTCCACATTGTTGAATGTCCGCCTTATAGCCTCGGAGTGCTTACGGCAAGGGTCAAGACTGATTTTCCACACGCCTCTGTCAGCATGGTGAATCTGAGATTTACCTGCCAACAAATCTATTTTTTTAGCTTGTTGGTACACTTTACCATTGATAGCACAAGATCAAAATACCTATAGCAAGTCTCATCCACATGTTGCTAAATGTGTTGATGTCAATGGCCATTTGACATACTTTTAGGTACCTACCATACATAAAGCCTATGCAAGGGCTATGTAAGGGGCCTGGGGATAGACTCCCAAAATATGGTACAGTACCTCTATCTGAGGGTCTTGAAATTCCCCTTGATTATGTTTATATTGGCACGTGGGAACGTTCAAAGGGGTACATGTTACATGGCGATGGGATTTGCTGTTTCTCGAAAATATACCGATGTCGCTGGGCAATAGATGGTACGCTATAATTACAGTCATCCACATCGAATCTGATCTAATCTAGTCGAAGCGATTCTGATCAAATCTAATTTTATAGATGATCTTTCAAATCAGTCAATGACAATATAAATCACGTGAGAGATCTTGAGGTATAGAGACCTCTTCCTGTGTGCTTTTTGTTGTTTGGCATTTGATTCATCCCAGTTGCCTGTCCCTGGTGGCATGTGGAAAAGCCAACTTAGTAAACCGTCATGGCCACCATTACTGTAGATGGTAGGTAAAATTCTTGGGTTTATGACCTTCATCTGGGTTTAACCCAACAATCATCGATTGCTCCAAAAATGGCCACTAAATCCCTCTTTCCACTGGCTGATCACAAATTTCATCAAACAAGTCCACCTTCGGGTATATCATGGTATATCCCAACTTCGGACGCACTCTGACCATGTTTTCTGGGCCCTTCACTCTGTGATTTCTCAAAAAAATTGTTGTAATGGCAGACCTCGGCCCTTCTCCTCTGTCATTTCACGACAACAAAAATGAGGAGAACAATATGAACAATATTTCAGAAGTGGGGCAGTCTCCAAAGGTTCAACCAACTTTCTACTCACCTGGTTTCAACCCAGAAAACCGCATCAAAAAAAACTCGTAAACCGCTTGAGAGGTGTCTGCCGAGTTGGAACACCACTCCATCACTTTAAAAACTCACTTTTGAGCATTAAAATTGCAAAAAAAAAGAGAGTAAATCCTTGGACCTATCTGTGGCCAGATAGGCAGAACTGACACCACGACTGATCCATCATATGACTACAAAAACCAGCCATGCACACATGATGCAAATTGATATATTAGGTCATGTATTATGACTTATCAATACGTATCACTGTATAATATGTACCTCCTGATCAATTCCACCATTGCTGCGGAAAAGTTCCATTTGTAAAAAATAACGAATATGATGGTTATTTTACTGATTGAATCAAACATGTTTCTTGCGCAATTTTCATGTTTCATCATGTTTCCATGTTTCAAGAGAAATGTTTTTTTTCCTAAGTCATGAGGGTAGCCCAGTCATGCTCCAGCCGTCATGGATTATTAATAACGTCCAAGGTACGCTCCCCCAGTTTCCGGTGCAGCTCCCAAAACGTCTCACCAACCGCCTGCTGGACGAAGAGCTGGGCAAAGTGAGCGGCACCATTGGTGTGATCGATTTTTTAGTTGGCCCATAGTAAATGTATGTGATATCGGGTAGGCGCTGGAAAAAAAACTTTAGACTACTGGAAAACAAATTTAAGTTGCACCCCTACTCTCCACACTGCAAAAAAAACTTAAGACACTGGAAAAAAAACTTAAGAATCTGTACTTTGAACCTTTTTGCAGCTGAAATATCTTATTTGTACAATATGTGCAGGGTTTGGGCACTTAAACATGCACTTGCATGATATTTAAAGCGTTTTGGCCTTGAATAATTCAATTTTATGTGCAGCTGAAATCTCTTATTTGTACAATATTTGCAGGGATTTGGAACTTAATTATGCAATTTGCATGGTATTTAAAGCGTTTTGGCCTTGAATCCCTTGTTTGCACCGTGCTCGCAGCATCTTGGAGCCAGCATCTGTACTACGCAGGGGATTATCGGCAGCATTTTGTGTTATTTGCAACATATTGTCTAGAGTTAGTTTTTGGATCTTTTTGAAGTTGGTTAGGGTGTATTTGGGAGATCAAAGGATGAGAAGGGTAAAGGACCAGGATGAGGAGGGTAAGGGACCAGGGGACCAGAGGACCAGGGGACCAAAGGATCCGGGGAACCTTAGATTATTTTTCCAGTAAATTTATTTTTTTCCCAGGAAACTTAGATTTTTTCCAGTATCATCCCTGTGATATCACTATGAAATAAATGTAACCAAAACTATGGTTGATATAACTATAGCCAACCACGGTTTTATGTATGATGTGACTATGATATAAACTACGGTAAACACCAACTATGATATAAGTAAGTATCACATTAAATCATATAATTAATTAGTTGGCAAAGTTAGTAAACAGAACTATATTTCCCTGTTGGCTTTCATGGTATACACGTTCTCGTCATGGGATTTCTACCCAACAAACATCACCGGGGGGTCTCCGGTTCTGTTCAGATGACGGTCCGTGCGTCCCGTCTCTGGGTCTTAGGCATATTTCGACTGTCTCGGAAAACGGACAGTTTCACCTATGGAAACCTACCCTTTGGTAATTTAACGTAGCTATTGGAAATTGCCATTTAAACAATTTATAGTTGATTTAGCTATTCAAAATGGTGATTGTCCATAGTTATGTAAACGTTTCCCAGAGGGTCTTGTTGAAATGAGGATGTTTTCCCTTATGAGTTCAGCCCAGTTTTTTTGGGATGAGTGAACTGACTATAACCCACAAACACGATTCCTGGGGCGAACCACCAAGTATATAGTAACAACAATGGTTCATGATGGTTAACATGGTATATAACACTAGTTAATACTGAGTTAATGCTGATATTACCCTCTGGGAAACGTATACAAAAAACTATGGAAATCCACCAATTGTTTAAGGGCAACTCAACTATTTCTATGGCCATTTTCGATAGCTATGTTAGTCATTACCAGAGGGTATATTCCATCAAGTGGATTATAATCCCATTAAACCCCAGTAAATCCCATTAAACATGGCCATTTTTGATGGGTAAATCCACTATTTCTATCAGCTCCCAGGGTAATGGCGATGATACTCATTTCATCACCAAATGAAACTGGCGAAGGATTTTTTGATAATCCAAGGCAGTTTTTCGCACATTCTCTGCTTCTGAAAAAACCTGAAGCGATGGTGTCATCGTTGTGTCATCCAACGTTGTGCGAAAAATGTGTAGCTTGACATCGTTTTATTTAAACAATGTGTTTTTACATCCGATTTGCCAATGTCATAATGTCATTGCAAACCGAGGGTTTGAATCCGTTCAGAAATATCTTCATCGAAGTTTTATGTGGGATTATCATGCCAACCAAATCATGCTTGAAAACAAAAAATATGATTGCAACCACAACCAAATCATAGAACAAGATAGAAGAAGTACGGCACCAAACTTGGGGATTGTTCTCAGTAAAAGTGGAAAAAAAGCCCCACAAGGTCTGGAACATCAGCGCATCCAAAGCTTTCCAAACATCTGGGATCATCTCTAAGATTCTGAGATTCAAAGGATATCTGCTGATAGCGGTGCTGACGAGTGTTACCTTGGTAAGAAGCATCTTATGCTGGCTAAGCTGTAGACACAACTATGGCTGACCCCAAGAAACACAAAGAAATCTACAGAAACAATCACCACTCTGCTGATTCTTTTCAGCGGGCAAAAAACAAATTACAACTGGTCAACTAGCACAAAATTCATGAATTCAAAAATGAGTTCACAATTTTTTTTGGTTTACACTGCGACTTAAAATTTCGCAAGTTACCCTCTGGTAAACTAAGATAGCTATTGACACTTGCCATGGAAATAGTGGATTTACCCATTCAAAATGGGTGGATTTTCCAGTTCGCTATGTCAGTTTACCAGACCCATATGCTCCATGGTGCTGGTATATTTACCTACATTTGGGTGATTTTGTTCGGGCAAATGTGTGTAAATATTCCAGCACCATGGTTCGCATATGGGAGGCCGGGTATTTTTTTCATAGTGATTTCTCACATCTTTGGTCGCAGGGGGTTAAAATACCATAAATCCCATAAAATCCCATTAAAATACCCTTAATGGAATCACATCTTTGGTCGCAGGGGGTGAAATCACCTGACATGCCACCTCGTGGTTCTTCACGAAAAGCTGCGAATCCTCGGAAGTCAACCCCCAATTTAGCTGCCGGAAAGCTGCGATTGGAAAACATGGTGAAAATTCATGGCCAAATGGTGAAGAAACATGGTGGTGAAAACATGGTGAAATCACCCTCCACTTGTGATGTTTTGGCGTATTACCCATCTGTAATCTATAATCTATATTATAAATGTATATATATATTCTATGATATGTAGTTAACTTATCTAATCATCAAAAACCTGAATTTTCCTATGTGATTTGAGTTGCCTTTTTTAAGCTATAGCTGCTTGGAGTTTCCTCAACCAGATTGGGAGAGTTACAGGATGGGGCCCCCCAGTGATGTAAGTTGGTTTATAAACCCAATTAACTGTAGTTATAGTTATATATCTACTATAAACCATAGAGAATTCAGCCACTTATATTATAACTTATATCTCAACATATCTGGAAATTAAGTGTAGTTATATCTACTATAAACCATAGTTAATTCAGCCACACAAATATCTCCACTGAACGCTATCGAAAACGGGGGCCCATCCTCTACGAATCTGTTTTTTTCTCGGCGCATCATTTCCAGGGACTTCGCCTTTTTGAGACGGAAAACGGCTTTCAACACGTGATTCCCATCACAATAATAAACTATCCATAACCATCCCATTAAATAACCGTTTGGGAGAATTTGTTTTGCTATCCCAGTCATAGGGGTACAGTATACCCAAGAACTCATCATTTCATAAACCTCAAACTTGGGAATGGTGACTATGGCATTGAATGAATCCCACATTACTATGAAAGGCAGCACAACAGGTACAAACGCCCAACCAATGTGATGGGTTGGAGCAAGACGGTAGATATGGTATGATATGGTTCCTGGGTTGGTAACTTAGCAGTCTTCGAAACCTGAACTTTTCAATGTAATCCCTTGAACAACTATAGTCTTCCTTGAGAACCGGTATGCCCAATATATCGAAAAATGATAAAAGGTTCCAAACCACCAACCAGGAACTATAAGATAATAGACATCTCAAAAAGATTAAAAGAGACCATAGTCAGCCCAATTGCAAAGCAACTTAGCCAAGTATGGGCTGCCACCCACCTTGTCAAACGAAATGGCTCTCATGACGTCAACCATAGTGCTCAAAAGACATATCTGGTTGGTGGTATACCGACCCTCTGAAAAATATGACTTAGTCAGTTGGGATGATTCCCAATATATGGAAAAATAGAATTCATGTTCCAAACCACCAACCAGATATAGTCTATTATAGTGATATAATGTGATATATAGTTTTTGGGAAGCCCTAAAAAGTAATGCCAAAAGCAATGAAAATCGCCATCATTTGAGGATTTCACTCTTTTCGCAACATCTGAAACAATACCCATATGCTCCATATATGGAATATTTACCAACATTTGCCCTAAAAATCACCCAAGTGTAGGTAAATATACCATACATGGAGCATATGGGATATGAAATAATCACTGCCTGGGTCCATCGTTGTGTGAGACAGGCCATGGATTCTTGGGATGTTTGACATGGACAGGCCGTCTCAGTTTGAAAAAATTGATGCGTGGCTAAAAGAAGCCACCTATAGATTCCTAGATGTCGCCTTTATCGAGTTTGATATATGGTGGTTTCCTAAGTCATAGGGCTACCCCCAGTCATCGTCCATTTTCGACTGGGAGAAAATCCCATGGAAATCAACCATCCAGCGAGCTTGGGGTACACCCGTGACTATCGAAACCCCCATGATTTATCTGGTTGGTGGTATACCTACCCCTCTGAAAAATATGACTTAGTCAGTTGGGATGATGACGTTCCCAATTGAATGGAAAGTCGTAAAATTCCATGGTTCCAGTCACCACCAACCAGCACTATGGAAACCTCAATCAAATTTATTGAATTAATTAGATTGAATTCTAGCAGCCTTGTCGTCTAAAAACACTACACATCCAGGCGCCGTTGAATTCGGCGCAGGAGCTGTTGATTGTTGTTTCCTCAAAATGGAAGAACGAGCCGGAGATGTGGCGAAACGATTGATGCCTCGCGAAAAAACGACACGTGGGATTTTTGAGAGACAGACATGGTGAGATTTTTGAGAGACAGCATGGTGATCATATGGCATACCCTCTGGTAATGACTAACATAGCTATTGAAAATCACCTTTTTTTAATGGGAAAACTCATTATTTCTATGGCCATGTTCAATAGCTATGTTAAATTACCAGAGGGTATTGTAAAGGATGCGAGAAACGATATGGTATATATGGTATATTGATATGAAGTCACGTGGTAAAAAACATGTATTCTCCGTACAGATCCACAAATCATGAATCTCATCCCTGGTTCGTCCCCAAACGACGTTCGACTCAGAAAATCCAGGAATCCACAGTGCCAGAGAGCGGGGATTTCGAGAAGCCATATTTGATTGTAATCACCATTCTAATAGGGCTCAAAAATACAATAAACCACTAATAACCATAATCATCCATAATCACCATTTCAATTTATAATCAGCATTCTAATTAACATTAACAGGCCGGGCTTATATATTCCCATATATTCCCATGATGTTCCTACATATTCCTACAGTATTCCCAGCCAGCCACGTTTGATGACATTCAAAAATGATATTCCCATTAACTATATTAACTATATAAAAGAAAATCATTTATATACTATATTTACAGGGGATATACCGTTTAAATTCCATTGAATCACAATTTTCAGTCAGGGAACGCCGGCCCGAACACAGAACGAGGAACGGAACGGGAACGGAACAGGAACCCGCGCAAGCAAAATCAGTGCCGAGCATTTGCGGCATTGGGACTTTTCATCTGCATTTTGAGCTGGTCTGCAAATGGGCAACTGGTTGGTGGTTTCAACCCCTCTGAAACATCTTAGTCAGTTGGGATTATTATTCCCAATATATGGCAAAATAAAATTCATGTTCCAAACCACCAACCAGTATATGTTTTACTCTTCGGTGTCAACACACAGGATGTCACCATCAAATCTCACCATTTTTTCCTAGGTCAATGACCACCGGAGACAAACCAAACCTCGATATAAAACTTTATATGGAGAAAGCTATATATTATTGGTACAAAATTCTACTAACATAGAAAATGTAGAACTGCATTTGATAGACAATAGAAATGTAGAACCCATGGTGCAAAAACCGTGGCCAAGCGGCTGCTCACCGACGTCACTTTCATGGCTTCGGGCGACTGCTGCCGCGCCAAAGAGGGTGGCATCAACGGCGGCCCTGGCCGATGCTCGAGGCACGTGGTGCAGTTCTTTGGAGCCCGCCCACAAGGGCTGGTGGAAAAGCCATGGCATCAGGATTTTAATGGGATTTAATGGGATTTTAGTGGGATTTAATGGGATTTTATGGGATTTTAGTGGGATTTAATGGGATTTTAATGGGATTTAACGGGATTTTATGGGATTTTAATGGAACTTAATGGGATTTTATGGTATTTTAGTGGGACTTAATGGGATATATGATGGTTACCCGGCCTGGTAAACGTTAACAAAAAACAATGGGAAATCCACCCATTTTGAATGGGAAAACACACCAGAGGGTACCCTGAAAAATGGGTGATTCGACCGACAGAATGAGGATTTCATCCACAAGAATCTGTGCAAAAAAAACCATCAAAAAAGGGTGATTTTTTAGCAACACAAATGGTGGCTCTCTTGGGTCTAACCATCAAAACCAAGCAGCAATTGGGATTTCACCATCTTTGACATGTTTGATATGGGGGGTTTGCCATGAACAATCGTGATATAAATAGGGATATGGGATGAATAATGGGATATGGGCCTCACCAACTGTACGGTACAAGATTTGGATGCGAAAGGGAAACTTGGGTATACACTGTAACACTCAAGTGGTGATTTTAAAGGAACATTAAAATAACTTTGGGGTACTCGATCATTGGACAAACCCTAATCAACCATCCTTTTTCGCGGGTGCACATAGACATGAGCCATCATGAAGTTTGCTTTTGCAAATATGAGCTGTCGTAAACGTATGTCCTTTTGGGAATGTTGGATGGGGGCAGTGACTGGTTTTTGCTGTCTGTCACCATTTATATATACCGATATCTATATATATATATACACATATTATAGTGTGTATATATATACATATATATATATACTAACCATATTATGCATATATTTTATATATAGGTTTCCTCAAATGGGGGTACCCCAAAACCATGGGATTACATACTTGGATGATGAATCGTGTAGCCCTAAAGTAGAGGACCCCTTGTGACCCAGCTGGGGAATGGGGGAATGATGAAATCCACAACTCTTTTCAAATCCTCATCCCATTCCCATCCATTCCCAAACCAATAAAAGCACCATGCTTGGTGTTTTTCATGAAAAAAAGTCAGGTGAGCCATTAAAAATGACCCGTTCTCCCATTTCATTATACTAGTTGGTTTTTCCAAACGGATTCCCTATGGGGCCCATCATAATCCCCAGTTTTTACCAGGTTGTTTTTCATCCCCAGCAAGCAATGAGAGATGCAGAAGGCGAAACGCCTTCAACCCTTCACGCCAGTTCTCTAACTTGATGGGCGAACGACCACTCATCAAAATGACGATTTTTGGGATGGTTTTCACTGTTGGCTTTGCCACGGTAAACTCCAAAAACACGGTGGAATTATAAGTGACCATCCCAATTTCACTGGAAATGGGTGGTATAAATCAATCCCACTTGGAGATTTATGATGGGTTGTGACAGCAGTTAAACCGTTCGTGGAACCCTATGTCAAAACTTGTGAGAGTTGCAGCATGGAGGTTTCATTTCGTGACCCAACAGGAGGAATGCCACCAGGAATCCTGGCTGTGTACAATCACCATCTCAAGATGAAGCATTTCAACGAAAAAACCTTGAGATTTTAACCAACCAATGAGCAATGTTAAAACCGGACATATCATAATTCTATACTCGTTGGTTAAGAATAGATTCCAGGTTCATGGATTATGACAATCCCCTATAAAATCCTATAAATATAGATAGATAGATAGATAGATAGATATAGATAGATAGATAGATAGATAGATATAGATATAGATATAGATATAGATATAGATATATATATATATTACTCTTAAGGGTGGCTGAGTAAGCCCCGAATAAAAAAAAAGAAAAAATCATCCAACCAATCATCGTTGATCCATCCTATCCAGCGGCAACATGTGGCAACATGTGGCATCCTATCCCCATAGGAGTATGAATATATATATATATTACCCTCTGGTTATTAATGGTTAATATATGGTTAATATAAGGTTAATATATAGTTAATATATGGTTAATAATATGGTTAATAATATGGTTGCTGGTGCAATAATTCACCATCTTGAAAAATGATGGACTTCGTCAATGGGGTTGGGATGACATCCCATATATTTATGAAATGGAACATAAAAGCCATGTTTGAAACCACCAACCAGATATATATATATATATATTACCCTCTGGTTATGACTAACAGTTCGCCATGGTATGGATGACCCATAGAAATAGATGGTTTACCGAACTTAAAAATGGGTGGATTTTCCATGGCGAACTGTTAAATAACCAGAGGGATATATATATATATTAAACGAGCCAAAATTCGGGGTATACCCCCATTTTCGGACAGACCATGACACACCCATGGACCGTGAGCCCCCCATAGCTCACATCATTCCCAGCCTGCGACCTTTGAGCTAACGCAGGACAGACCCCCGCAGTCCGGTGCGATGTTTCACGGAGCGTGCGGAGAAAGTGGTGGATTTCGGATGATATCGATCCAATTTATACCTTATAGTGTCTGACATTCCTATCATTTTAGGATATTTCAGGTATATGGTTTATCAACATAGATCCTAAAAAACCATCTTATACGGAACAAGCCCAAGAACGCAGTGACCAATTCCAGTCATTTTTCAATATAAAAATGACTCATGTCAAAAAATGGAGGTTTCCCAAGCCATAGGGGTACCCCTAAATCATCATCATCATCCATTTCTTTGTTTGGATTTTCCATTATCAACTATATTCAACTATCAACCATCCATTTATTCTCCATTTATAGATGGGATTTTCCATGAAATAAACGGATGAACTATTTTATATCCAACTAATATTCTTATGGATTATATATATATATATATGTATATGTATAATATTTTTCATTATCCAACTAATCCATTTTTATCTTTAACCATCGAGTCTCGTGGGATTTTCCATGAAATAAACTAACCACCCAGCGAGCGACCGGGGTACCCTCATGACGTTGCGACTGTGGATACCCTTGAGCCGACTCGGCGATGGAGTGATCCAAGTAGGTAACGATTGTGTTCACAGCAAATGTTAGAAAATAGAACTTAAATGTTGATAATATTATAAACATATAATCATATAGATTATATAGATTATATAGATGATATAAATTAGATAAACTGTATACATCACTAAAAATATATACAATATATATATACAACATATAAATTATATAAGTTATATACATTAGATAAATTAGATAAATTATATAACTTATATAAATTATACAAACTATATAAATTAGATAAACTGTAAAAAATCATATAAATTATATTCGTAGCTTTGAAGTGAAATAAAGCACCAGTTTTATCGGTCAAAGCCGGCCCAAACACATGGTATTATATGATATTATATGATATAATAAAAACTTTATAAAAACACTCTATATTTATTCAATGTAATTCACCTATAATTAATGGTTAAGTTGGTTGCATATAGCTTTCATTCCCCCTCTATATCCCCATTCCATATCCCTATATGTTCTTGCTAAAACACCTATACATCGACCAGCAAAAATCATGGAGTCAACCTAGCCGCTAGCCCTGAACAAACGTAGGCTGAAGAAATCCTTTCGCAACCCTTCAACTTATTAAACACCTGTATAAAGAGCCGCTCGAGCATTTTATAGCCCATTTTTCGGTAGAAACACTTAACTGGATTCTCATGTCCCCCCAAAAACCCTGGATCTTGGTTAAACACCTATAAACAGCCATAGTTCGCCAGAGCCTCCAAGGTGGTTTCCCAATTTGGCTTCCCTCACCGTGACCCCGAGGCTTTTGGTGAAGAGTTCCGCCACGGCTTCCGAAGCCTTTCGCAAAACTCAACGCTTTTCGCAAAAAAGAACAGTCAAAATGCGGATCGAAGCAGCATTTCTGGGAGATTTTCGGATTTCTACGGGATTTCTATGGGATTTTGATGGGAATTTCCAGGGGATTTCAGGGAGATTTACCGGGGATCTCTGGAAAGTGGTGGGTTTTCGGTACGGTACCAGCGGATGTTTCCAGCATCCCAGGAGGTTCCCATCATGGGAGGGGCGTTTAGGCGTTTAGGGGCTCGGATCTGCCAGGAACGTTTTCTACGCAAAAAACGACCTCTCGGTGTTGTTTCACATTAGTTTTCATGATGGTTAATAATAACTAATATATATAGATATGGTTATTAACTAATGATGGTTAATAATGATAGTGAATAATAGATTAACTAATGATGGTTATTAACATATGCTCCATGTATGGTATATTTACCTACATGACTGGGTGATTTTGGACAAGGGCAAATGTAGGTAAATATACCAGCACCATGGAGCATCTGGGATATAGTGAATGATGGTTACTGATAGTGAATGATCATTATTAATTATAGTGAATTATATTATAATGGTTATTATTATGATTAGTTAGTTGATGATGGTTACTGATAGTTAATGACCTTGATATATATATATATCATCGTAAATCATCAATGATACACTAGCTCAAGGTATGTGATACAGTGATACACTAGGAATGATGAAATTCCCAATATATGGAAAAATAAAATTTTCCAAACCACCAACCAGATCACACATTTCTTTGGACCTTTACCAGAACAATCAGATCCGTCTCCGCGCTTGTGATTTGCGGACCTCAACAATCTGATGGGATCAATCTGGGATGAGCCTTTTTGGGGGCCAGCTCGCGAGTCGTCATCCATAGCTCCAACGGAAGGGGGCCATAGTAATTACCCTCTGGTTATTTAACATAGCAATGGAAAGATCCACCATTGTTAACCATCTATTTCGATTAGGGCCATCTATACCATGGCTATGTTAGTCATAACCAGAGGGTAGTTACTTCAGCTTTATTCATGTGTAAAAAAATGATTGCGATCGAAATTCATGATCGTTGCTGTTCAACTACAAGAAACC